CCATACACGCATCCATACACGCATGCATGCATACATACGCACATGCATCCATAAATGCATGTATGCATACACGCATGCATACACACATACATGCATGCATACATACACCCATACACATATATAGATATATATAGATGCACACACATACATACATACGTGAATGATTGCATCCATGTATGCACAGGTAACTGCATACATACATACATACATATGCATTCACATACGTACATACAGGCATTCATGCTTTCATAATACATGCATACATACACAAGTAAACACACACATACACGCAAGCACACCTACCTGTATACATGCATACATATGTACATGCACGCATGCATACATACATACATGCTCACACACAGAACCTATACATATGCACACCTACACCTGCATGTACGTAACCCCATACATGCATGTGCGCACACACGCACGTCATACATACAAACATACGTACACATATACGTTCATACATATACACATATATATATATATATACACGTACGTACATGCACACACACATGCATGCACACATACACGCATGCACACATACCTACACACATGCATACATATGCGCATGCACGCCTGCATACATACATCCTTACATACAGACATACCATGCACATATACAGACATGCATGTGCATAGCCATATACATACATGCGCGCATACACGAACGTAATAGTTACACATACATTCATACATACATACACACATACATACATACACACATACGTTCATACATATACACGTAGACCTATATGTGCGTACGCACATGCATACACACATGCAGACATGCATACATGAGCATATACACACATACATACATACACACATACATGCATACATACACACATACATATATATATATATACACGTACACGCAGAATCTCTTTCATTCAGACAACCATACATACACATACATACATATGTATACATACACAGATACATACAAACATGCATCCATATACTCGTACAGACATCCATATGGTGCCGGAGAGAAGCCACAGGGCTACGGGGCTAAAGGGCTATTGGACTATGGGGCTACAGGGTAGAGGGCCAGAGGGCTGTAGGGCTATTGGGCTGTTGGGCTATAGGGCTACCGGGCTATTGGGCTATAAGGCTGCCTAGCTATTGGGCTATAGGACTATGGGGCTACAGGGTAGAGGGCTGGAGGATTAGAGGGCTAGAGGGCTAGAGGGCTATAGGGCTATAGGGCTGCAGGACTACAGGGCTATAGACTATGAGGCTATAGGGCTTTAGGGCTATCGGGCACCCGAGCACCCGGGCGGGCCGCTGAAATCGGCGACGCAGCTCCTGGGCACCTGGGCACAGGGGCGGGCCGACAAAATCGACGACGCAGCTAACCTTACCATATGGATCCGCTAGGACCCCTACAGAGGCAAGCTCTCATTGGGGAGCATACAAACCTACGCGCACACATACATGCATGCAGGCATGCACTTCATATACATACGCCCATCCATACATATGCCTACATGCATACATCTATACTACACACGTTAATGTATAACAACATATAAGAACCATCGCGCAAGTTTCGCGCGCGCTCAAGTTCTAGCTAGGGTCATGATCATTGTCATCATTGTCATCCTCATCCCCGTCATCTTCATCGTCATCAGCATGGTCATGGTCACCTTCACCATCACCATCACAACAAGGACCATTATCACCGTTATCAACATCGTGATCACCATCGCCATCGTCATCGTACTTTTCAACATCATCATCCGCATCATCAACATCTTGTTGGTCGTCGTTGGCGTCGTCGTCGGCATAATCATCGTCATCATCATCAACCTAATCATCGCCGTCATCATCCCCGGTCCACTGCAGTCCCCTTACCCTCCTCCTCTTCCCGTTCTCCCTCTTCCCGTCATCTTATACTCATCCTTTTCCTCGTCGGCGTCTCCCTGAAAGGGATCCCTGTTCCTTCACCTCCTCCTCCTCCCCCTCTTCTTCCTCCTCCTTGTCCTCCTCCTCCCTGCCTTCCCCGTTTTTCGGTGTGTCCCTCCTTTTGTTCCTTCACCTACTTCACCTCCTTCCTCCTCGAGCCCTCTTCATCCTGCGCTCCCCTTCCCTCCTCGTCCTCCGCATCCCTCCCCGAGCCAGAGACTCAGAGAAGAATATAATCTTACAAGAACAACATTGCCCCTCCCCCTCTTCCCCCTCTTCGCCCTCGTGATCTTCCTCCTCTCTCCTCCTCCTCCTCCTCCTCCTCCTCCTCCTCCTCCTCCTCCTCCTCCTCCTCCTTCTCCTTCTCCTCCTCCTCCTCCTCCTCCTCCTCCTCCTCCTCCTTGTCCTTCTTCTCTCTTCTCTCAACGCACCCAATACACGGGTGCCTACTGGAACGCGTGCCGGGAGCCTTTTCGGAAGCATTGTGGCAGTCTCTGGAGCCTCTCTGGGCCTTCCTTTGGAGTCCTTTGGGGCCTTTGTTGGCCAGTCTGAGGGCCCATTTCGGCCGTTCTGGGTGCCTCTTGGCTCGTCGTGGGGAGCTCAGCCCGTCTTGGGGCCCTCCTGGGGCCCTCTTGGTGGCCCCTCGGGCTTCCCGGGGGCTTGCTTGGGCCGTCTTGTAGCTCTTCTGTGCCGCTTGAAGCTCTCTTCAGCCCATCTTGGAAACCTCTTTGGGGCCTCTGGGGCCGTCTGGGGCCCATTTTGGTAACCTCTCGGGCCGTCGCGACCGCTGGTAGAACTGACAAACGAAGCTCCCAGAAACATAGATTTGTCCATCGGAAATGCTTGATGTTTGCCTTTGCAGAGCATTCTCAGCGGCCTCTTGGACAGTCGTGGGGGGGTCATTTTGGGCCTTTTGTGGCCCGTCTGGGAGCCCATTGCAGCTGTCCCAAGCCCCTCTTGGCATATCATGGGTAGCTGAGCCGTCTTGGGGCCCTCATGGAGCCCTCTCCGACCATGTAGGGATCCTCCGGTAGCTCCCTCGGGCCCCCTGGGGACTCTCTCGGGCTGTTTTGGAGCTCTCTTGTGCTGCTCGACGCTCTCTTGAGGCTGTCTTGGAGCCCTCTTGGGGGCCTCGTGGACCGTGTGGCGCCGACTTGGGGAGCCTTTGGGGCCGACGTGGCCGCCGATGGAACATAAGAAGCGAATATCATACAAATGTACGTTTCCCCATGGGACAAACTAGTTTTTTGCACCCGGGAGCCTTCTCAGCGACCTCCTGGACAGTCTTCAGGGAGTCCTGGGCGGCCTTTTGTGGACCCTCTGAGGGCCCAGCTCGGCAGTTTCGGGTCCCTCTTCGCCCGTCTTGGGGACCTGAGCCCGTCTTGGGGCCCTCCTGGGGCCCTCTCCGACCATGTAGGAATCCTCTGGTGGCCCCCTCTGTGTTCCTGGGTACTCTCTTGGGCCGTGTTGGAGCTCTCTTGTGCTGCTTGACGCTCTCTTCAGGCCGTCTGGGGGCCTCTTGTGCCGTCTGAAGCTCATTTTGGGAGCCTTTGGGGCCGTCGCGGCCGCTGGTAGGACTGAAAAGCAAATATCAAAAAAAAAAACGCTTTCCCGATGGAAATGCTTGATTTGTGCCCTTGGAAGGCCTTCTCGGCGGCCTCTTGGACCGTCTTGAATGCCTTTGTGGCCGTCTAGGAGCAGTCTTAGGCTGTCGTCGAGCGCTCGTGGCCCGTCCGGAAGCCATCTCTGTGCGCTCTTCAGCCACCTTCCAGACAACCTGGGGCGCTTTGGGCGCCTCTTGGGCCAGCTTGGGAGCCTCTGGGGGCTCCAAAGCCCCTTCTGAACCCTCTTGGAGCCCTCAAGGCCCCCCCGGCCCCCCACGCGAACCAGAGGTAGCAAATCTGGGCCCTCCCCTGGCCTACTCCGATCTCTATATACACATATATATATAGATAGATATAGATATACATATATACACACACGCACAAGTGGCACGTGTGTGCGCAGGCTCATACAAAAAAAAAACAACTGAAAGGGCGTTCGAAGCAGGAACACACCATGACTGCAGGATCGGAGATGGCGGCGCCGCCAGGGCGTGCCTAAGAGAAGGGGAAGAGGCAGGAGGTGAACGCAGAAGAATCTAAGATCGAGGTCGCACTCGAGCGCAAGTGGGGTTGCCACACCTTGCGATGTGTGTACCAGGCCCCCCCAAGAAACCTCAGGAGGCCCGACTTGGATACCGGAAGAGGCTCCAGGAGGCCCCGGGATTGTGAGTGTTGTGTGTGTGTGATGTGTGCTCTGTGTTGTGCGTGTTTTCTGTGCGTTGTAGGTGTTGTGTGCGTGTGTGTGTTATGTTTGTCTAGCGTGTGATGTGTTGGGTGTGATTGGTGTTTCTGTGTGTGCATGTAGTTCTGAGGTCCCCAGGAGGCCCCAGGAGGCCCCAGGCGGCCTCAGGAGGCCCCAGGAGACCCCAGGAGGCTTCAGGAGGCCCCAAGAGGCTCCAGGAGACCGCAGGAGGCCCCAGGAGGCCCCAGGAGGTTCCAGGAGACCCCCAGGAGGCTCCGAGGCGGGGTCTGGGGTACCAGAAGGTACAGAGAACCCCAGGAGGCCCCAGGAGGCCCCAGGAGGCTCCGAGGCGGGGTCTGGGGTACCAGAAGGTACGTCGGGGCTCGATTTTGGGAGGATGTCTCACGCGAAACCGCCCTATTCTGAGAATCGGGATCATAATCATTGAAATTCCCATGTGTTTTTGGATCCTCACCTCACGATCTGCGTGAGGGGTGCCACAGATTTTCAGAATTTCAAGGATGTCTCTAGCAAACGGCCAGAAACATCGCGAACGACGCGGCGCGTATGCATTAATCGCCTCTGAGCTTTACTCCCTCGCAGAGGTGAGTATGATAATATATCTATATCTATATATACATATATCCATATATATATACACATACACCGATCTATATATATATATATATATATATATATATATATATATATATAGCACATGCACACAATACTCATCCACCACCTGCCGACGTCCCCGAAGATCGGTCCTCCAGGCGGTGCCCATGGATAAAACTCGCCTCGGACTTGGACCTGCGGGCGCCGGGGGGCCACTTTGGGAACCCACAGCGCGTCCCGCGCGAGCGCACGCTGCCTCGAAGCAGCTCTGCCGCCGAGGGGCAGGTGGCCTCCGGGAGCCGGGTGCTGCCGGAATTGGCTCTTGCCCGCTCGAGCTACGTGCTCGACCAGTAGGCATCCTTCAACCGATCCCCGTCCCGGCTGGTGCCGCCGAAGGGCAGGTGGCCTCCGGGAGCCGGGTGCTGCCAGAATCGGCTCTTGCCCGAGCTACGTGCTCGACCAGTGGACATCCTTCAACCGATGCCCGTCCCGGCTGGCATGGACTTGATCCCGCTGGCCGGCCTGCACCCTCCGGTGGGGATCTATGCCTTCACCTCGGGCTCCGCGGGACCTATCCCCACCTGAGCGAGTGACCTGGCGGGGCCGAAATGACAATGGGTACGGGGATCGGTTAGCCGATGCTGAACCATTGGGCCCCTCGTCATCAATCTTCCATCGTCCTTCGGCAGCAGTCGACGGTCCTCGGGCGGACATCGGCCATCTCCTGGCGTTCTTCCGGCGGCCTCTGGCGGTCTTCTGCGCGGCAGCGGGACGGCTGCATGTACAGTAGGAGCTCGACCACAAGAAACCTTTTACAAGAAACCAGACCATGAGACCCCAGGACGTCCATTGAATGTTTGGTGTGGGAGCGTCGCGCTTTCCTTAGCGAAACCATCGAAACCCAAGAGAACCAGGGCACCCTGGAGGCGAGCAGGATGCTTCTTGGCATGGGCTTCCACTGAAGGAGGAGCCCGGAGCCCATGGTTGAACACCCGGCCCAGGGCGGCCCCACCTTTGCCAGGGAGTGCTGGGTGGTCTCCAGGGCACCCCTCGCGGGGCGAAAACCACCCCAGGGGCGTCCAGATTCAGGAAATGTCGCCTGACCACCCCGTCGATCCTGGCAGGGCCGATCCCGGGCCCAGGGTCGGTGTCTATACACGCCCCTCTTGGCACAGCCAGGGGGCGGAGGATGCGCTGGGCCAAAATCGGTGCGGTTATAGAAGGAGGAGGAGGAGGAGGAGCAGGACGAGGAGGAGAAGGGGGAGGATAAAAAACAATTAGGGGCGAGAAAATCCACCCTCCCGACACGAGAAGCAGTTCAGCAAACGCAGCCGCAGAAGGAATCAAGCGGGGCGGGCTGTTTAGCAGACGCCCAGGGCCGTTTCGTAAACGCCCAAGGCCGTTCAGCAAACGCCAACTATCAGGCCCTTGTGGTTTCTCCTCCCTGAGCTGAACAGTGCTGCACGCACGAACAATTCTGGAGAGCGGAGTCTCGGATCCGCTTGCGCGCCAGAGGGGGGCCCAGCGCAGGCCCACGGCCGCCGCCCTGACCTCCGACAAGCTGTGCTCAGGCAGCTTTCCGTCGCTCGGGTGTGAGTCCACGGGGGGCCCCTGACACGGGACGAAGAGACGCGCACCATTCGTGCACCTCTTCGGCCCGCGGTGGCAGTCTGAGGGCCACTCAGATCAATGTTCCTACGATCCTCGATCCCCCACGCCAGTTGCCCCGCTGCTGTCCGCGCGATCTGCCTCGCATGGTGCGAACGACGTCCCCCCGCACAAGGCGCGAACAGCTGAAGGGCCCCCATCTCGGGCCAGGGCCACCTCACCGGCAGCGCCCGGCTGAAGAACACGAGTCGCCGCATCGGCCGGCAGGGCAGCCCCAAAGCGCCCGCAGGCTCTCACAAGAAAAAAAACACTGCACGACCACGGGGAAACACGGTCTCCACATCGAGCCGCATCGCCGATGCGTCGGCGATGCGGCGCGATCCTCCGACCCCATCTACCCGGACCCCATCCAAGATTAGGTCGGGCATGACCTCCTGCAGGCGGATTTTGAAGGAAAAACAAAACGTAGTCGAAACATGCTCAACAGCTGTCAAAACTCGTTGAGACATCGTCGCCAGACCATTGTCCTGCTATTCTTGAGTATTCCTCGTGGGGACAGCCTGGATCGCGTCCCCCATGGCGATCTTCCCCCGGCCCTGCCGCCCAGACCCGCCAGCTCGCGTCCAGAAGGAGCTGTACAGAAAAAACTGGCCGCACCCCGCGCGCTCTCGCGCGGGCCACGGTGGCGAGCTCCCGGCGACGCACCTCGCGCGCCTGCCTTCGGCAGGGCGCGAGCGGGGTTGCGGAGCCTGCCTGCCTTCGCAGGCGCCAGCCTTCGGAGGCAGGATGCCTCCGGAGGCCTCGCGCCACGTGCCTCGCGCGTCTGCCTTGGCAGGCGCTAGCACAAAACAAAAACCAAGCAATCATGCAGCATGCCGCGCGGAATGATCGGCGGCGGGCGAGGGGGGGAGTGAGAAGGCTCCGAAGGCGGCGGGGCTTCTCAAAAGCCGCCCGCTCCTGGCCCTCTGAGGAGCTTTCTGTCGAAAATTTCTCAGACGGCCGGAGGACCTCCGAGCCTCCTGCGAAGGTCCGCCCCTTCTCACTTCCCTTCGGGCTCGCCGCCGAAATGAGGCATCCTGAGACCATCGCGTGGCAACTTTTTCGCACCGGATATTTTCGCCCAAAACCGGGCTTCGGGACCCGCGCAGATCGATCTGGCTCGACAATTGACGCAGAATGACTGGGTCGAGGGCTCTGGTCGTGAGCTCCACGATGTTGTACTGTTTTGCGACGTCGGATCTCAGAGAATGCACGCGAGCCTGCGCTGCGGCTTCCTACTCACATCCCATCTGCTCGTTCTGGCAGCACCACACCTTCTTGTCGTTTGACCACCCAGCGCGCCAATTGGAATACCCAGCCTGGCAGTCGAAAGGCTTTGACGTCGTCTCCGGACAGCCCACCCCCTTGTTGGGGCAACACCACGCTTTCTTGTCGTCCGACCACCCGGCCTTTACGGGGCCCAGAAATATACACCACCACCACCTCCCCTTCCCCCTCACTCTCCCTGAGGAGAAGAGGGCGAAGGAGGGAGAGAGTGGAGGTGGTGGCGTTGGTGGTATATTCTTGGGGCCCGCAGCCTTCCAATTTGCGAAACCGGCTGCGCAGTCGTACGGCTCGGACGTCGTGGCGGCTGGGCCAGGCACGAGCACCTGCTCCGGAACCAAGGTCGTCGTGCAACCCATCTTCTTGTTCTCGCAACACCACACTTTTTTCGGCACGGACCAGCCCGCCTCCCAATTGGAGTAGCCCGCGGCGCAATCGTACGGCTCCGAGACTGGCTGCGGTGGGGGTGGGGGCGGAGGCGGCGCTGTGGGCGCAGGGGGCGGCGGAGGTGGCGCCACGGGCGCGGGTGGTGGCGGCGGGGGCGGCGGCGGGGGGGGCGGCGGGGGCGGCGGCGGGGGCGGCGGCGGGGTCGTGGGGCAGCCCCTGCCGGCTTGCAGGCAGCATGTCACCTTCTTCGGGATATCCCACGACAGGGGGTCGCCCTCACCGCAGTCGACCTTCTTCTTGGTGGTTGTGGGTGGCGGCGGGGGTGGCGGCGGTGGCGGCGGGGGCGGCGGCGGCGGCGGTGGCGGCGGCGGTGGGGGCGGAAAGGTCCTCTTGGTCGTTGTCTTGGACGTGGTCGTCGTTGGGACCACGTCGGGCGGAGGTGTCGTGAACACTGGAGGCAGAGTGACCGCCGATGTGGTCGTCGTCGTCGTGCTAGTAGAACCCATCAGCGCCCAGACGAGCAGAGGAAGCGCCAAGAGGGACAACAACAATGGGACGACGATGCAGACGCAGCAATTGGGCCCTCCCGCCGGCAGCCTGATTGGGGTAAACAGGTCCCGATACCTCTTCTCCCCAGACCTCTCCTGAATTGCGTTCTGAATAGAAACCCACATGTGGTTTAACGTGTTCCGTCTTCTCTCTGTCAAACCTCCCTCCTTCCACTTTTCGGGGGACGGGTTTTCCCCTCCCCTTACCCCCCTCCCCTGGGCCTGGGAGAGGAGCCCCGAGCGGTCAGAGCGTCCAAACTGGCTTCAGATGGCCCCACGAGAGCCTCAGAAAGCCCAGAATGGCTTCCGAGATGACTCAAGATGGCTACAGATGGGTCAAGGTAGCCTCCGACACACATCAAAGACGTCTCAAGACAGCCCCAAGACGGTTCCAAGTGCCATTCGGGCGTTCCAAAGCATCCCCCAAGAGGCCAAAATCCTTCAGGCACCTACGGAAAACTAATGGTGGTTGCCTTCTAGCCACCTCGCTTCCGATGAGTTGTTGGAGCGTCAAGATGGCTCCACGATGGCACAACAGAGCCCCAAGAGGGGCCCATGAGTGCCCAAAGAGCGCCCAAGAGCGCTCAAGAGGGCCCAAAGACGCCCTTTTGGAACCTCCGATGAGGGACCTCAATTGAGGACCCCCCCGCATCTTTGATGCGTTGGGCCCCAGGTCGCCCCAAGAGGCCTCCAAAACTCAAATTTCGCAGGGTGTTGCAGGGTTTCCCCCCTCCCTGCAAAGACCCAGGAAAGAGGGGCCGCTCGTTTGCTAGTCATGTAGCATGCTCGTGCCTCCTTCTTCCTGTTCGCCGCCTTCCTCCTCCTCCTCCTCCTCCTCCTCCTCCTCCTCCTCCTCCTCCCCCTCCTCCTCCTCCTCCTCCTCCTCCTCCTCCTCCTCCTCCTCCTAGTTTCGGCTCGAGAGCTTTGGGTGCGACAGCCAGCCTGTCGCGAGCTCTCCTCGGGCTGGGACCATCGCGCCTTCGGAGGAGGCGTGGCACAGGCGGGCGCGCCGCCAGCGCTCCAGCGCGCGCTCCCTTGTCCGCGCCTGGAAGGGGGCGCGGTCGCCGCTGCTGCAGGCGCGCCTCGTGGAGGCGGCCCGCCTGCTGGAACGCTCACCACGGGTCCTCGGCTGGCAGCATGGCCGCGGTCGCGGTGGCGGCGGCAGCCTGGGTGGCAGTGCCCGTGCCAGGGATGTGGCTACTACAACTTCGGGGAGCGGGACACGTGCCGTGTGCTGGGGTGCAAAGGCAAGCGACCCCCCACGAGGCGGCCCGCGGAGCTGGGGGACTTCGTGGTGCGGCCGCGCCCACGCGCTCCTCGTGGACCTGGGGCAGGCGAGGGTGGGCAGCGCGCGGGCGGTGGTGGAGCGCCCAAGCGAGCCCCCTGGTGGCCTGACGACCGTGCTGGTGCTGGTGGGGGTGGCACCGCAGCAGCTGGTGGTGGTGCAGGTGCAGGAGGTGAGGGCACTGGCATCAACGAGGAGCTGTGGCACAAGCTGGTGCAGTTGCCTGAAGACGCCTTCAAGGTCAGCGCCCAGCTGCTGGACGCCAAGACCAAGCGCGGGATTCTCCAAGCCAGGAGGTTGGCACAGGAGGGGCTGGGCGACCTCTCCAAGGTCAAGGAGGTCAAGGCGGCGCAGCTGCGGGCCGACGAGAAGTCCGTGCAGGTCACGAAGGCGGAGGGCCAGCTGGAGCAGGCCAAGGCGCGGGCTCATCGCGCTGTCGCTGAGATGGCGGAGCTGGGGGAAAAGCTGGTGCAGCTGCGGCGCGAGCTGGAGGAGGCCACGGTGCAGGCCAAGGCGGCCGTGGCAGCCCAAGCCGCGAAGCAGTCCGAGGCGGAGACGGCGAAGCCGAAGGCGCCAGCTGCGGCGGCCCCCACGGCCGTGTCGGCTGGGCTGCGGGCAGCGATTGCCGCGGAGCTCGCCAGCCACGCGGCAGAGGCGCCTGAGCTGGTGGTCAAGCTTGGCGGGGCGCTGGGCGAGATTCTGGACAGCCACGCCAGCCAGGCGGCACCTGAGGCGGCTGCTGCTGGGCTTCCGCGGCAGCAGGAGGACGTGGGTGCTGGTGGTGCGGCTCATGCCCCTGCAGCTGCGGCCGCTAGCGTGGCGCCCGCTCCTGCAGCCGCGGCGGGCGAGCCAGCGGCAGGAGGAGCCAATGGGGCGACTGGGGTGGACCAGGCCTGGCGCGAGCTCGCCATGGAGATGGAGGACCCCGAGAAGCGGAAGTTCGCCGAGGTGCTCAGGGAGGAGCAGGCGGGGTCGGAGGCCAAGCGGCTCCGCACAGCGGCTGAGGCTGGTGCGCAAGACTCCTAGCAGGCAGGGTGCCTGCTGGCGGTTCTGCACGGTCAACGTGAACGCGTTCTGCAACCTGGATGCGTGCCTGGCGGTGCAGGAGGTCAAGGAGTGCGACGCGGTCCTCGTCCAGGAGACCAGGCTGCTGGAGGGAAGGACCAGCGATGTGGAGGCTCAGCTTCGAGCCCAGGGATGGCGGGCGCGCGGCACGCCAGCCGTCCCGTCGTCGGCAGGAGGGCTCAGCTCTGGAGGACTGATCTCCATGGTTCGGACCGCCTATGGGATGGCGGAGGTGGACGACCCGATGGGTGCCGTGGTCGTCCCAGGCAGAGTTCACGTCTGCTGGGTCGCAGGGGTGAGGAGAGGCGGTGTGCTTCTCGGCAACGTCTACCTCGAGGCGGGGGTCGGCCTGAACGCGAGTAACGTGCAGGCGCTCACGCTGCTGGCGAGGAGGCTCAAGCAGTACCAGAAGGAGTACCTGGTTGGTGGTGATTTTAACCTCACGGAGGAGGAGCTGAGGGACGGAGGTATGCTCGCCATGTTTGATGCGGTGGTGGTTCGTCCTTCGACTCCTACGTGCGCATCGTCGGGGAGGGTCATCGACTTCTTCCTGGTGTCCAAGGGCTTGAGGGCGTGCGAGGTCAGCGTGGTGCCTGCGTCGCCCGTCTACCCGCACTCCCCTGTCCTTGTCAAGGTCGGCGCGACGGGGCCCCGTGCGCCCTTCCGCGTGGCGCAGGCGCCGAAGCCCTTCCCTGTCCTGAGGCCCTTGGGGTGCTGCGAGTACGACCACGTGGGCAGATGGAAGCGGAGTCGGCAGGAGATGAGGAGGCTCCTCAGGCCGATGGTGGACTTCGTGGACGAGGAGGTTGAGGCAGGCGCGGGCTGCAGCCTGGGGGGCCCAGTCCCGTTGGGAGCGGGCCCCCAAGGCACATGCACTGGGTCTGCCAGTTGGCCGCAGCCTGGGATAAATTGCGGCAGCCATCCTGGAGTGGAAGAGGTGGACGCGCGGGATGCGCAGTCCCACCCGGAGCCCCAGCCACAGGTCCGACCGGCGGGGCTTGCTGGAGGGAGCGCGGCAGGCTGCTGCGAGGAGGCTGGTGCTGGTGAGGTGGCTGCTGGTGCTGATGCCGCCTTGGGGCTGGGCCGCCTCGCAGGCTGCCGCAGTGTGCTCGCGCCGCCCCCTGCGCTGGCCACCGCGGCTTCGGCGGTCAGCCTTGGCCAGCTTTGCGGGCAGCTGGACGAGCAGTGGCAGGAGGCAGTGCGAGGATGCGGCTTGCTGCGGGAGCCTGAGGAAGCTGGGCCTCGTGGGGAGGCGAGGAGCACGCCTCGTCGGCGAGAGCCTGGGCCCAAGCAGCCACGAGAGGCACAGGCCCAAGAAAAAACAACCCCACGAGGGCTCTCGAGGGTTAAAACTGAGGGGCCACGCCTGGGGAGCACGCCTGAGGAGCACGGGAGCGGGAGGCGAGGAGCACGCCTGAGGACCAGACCAGAGGCGCGGCGGAGCCCGTGGAGAGGGCTGGAGGAGCCAGCCGACCGCCTCCTTGGCGGGAAGTGCGTGCCAGCAGGAGGAGGATGCGACGAGGAGAAGGTCAAGGAGGGCCTCAGCATGGCCCTGGGCGCCTTCCTCCAGTGCGCGGAGGAGGAGTGGATCGACGTGTACCAGCTGGGGGAGGAGCGCGACAGGTATTCTGGTAGAGCTGAAGGCTTCTCCACCAAGGTCGTCGTCAAGAGCGGGGTGCAGCAGGCGAGGTCGCCGAGGCTTACCCCTGAGGCGGCGTGGGTGGCCAGGGTGGCCAACGCGCTGCGCGCCGCCTCCAAGGTGGGCGCGCCACGCGCCAGGCAGGAGGCGCTCGGGTACTTGCCTGCGCTCGCGGCTCGCGTGCCGCAGCGGGTTCGGACGCTGCAGGAGGAGGATGAGGTTGAGGAGGCTGAGGGCAGTGTGGCCAGCTGCGGTGCAGTGGCAGGCAGATGGCACGGCTTCCTGCTGTACGGCGCGGTGGCGCTGTGGGACCCGTTCGCGCTGGCACACATGGCTGACCTCGCCAAGCGGCATGCCAGCGAGCTAGCCCAACGAGATCTTGCCGAGCGAGGCAAGCGCTTTGACGAGTGGGTGGGTAAGCAGCTCAAGGGAGGAGCAGCAGGGCTGCACGCCGTCACTCGGGTGCCAGTAGGATGGCAGAGCAGCACTTGCAGTGGCAGCTCGGGCCCCGCAGGCCTCGGCAAGGAGATCGAACTCCTCGAGGCCGAGTGGGGCAAGCACTGGAGGATCGAGTGCGACCACGCCGAGCTGCAGTGGCCCTCAGATCTGGGCGAACGGCCTCCGCGGCCGTCCGTGGAGGACCTGCGCCGCTGCCTCCGCTCCTTCAAGAAGGACACGGCCTCGGGCTTCGAGGCCATCAAGCCCAGGCAGCTCCTCGAGCTCAGCAGCGAGGGGCTAGAGGCTCTGATCGACCTGCTGATGGCCGTGGAGCAGATGGCGGAGTGGCCGCAGCTGCACACCAAGATCGTGTTCTTGGCTAAGCGGCTCGGGGGCGTTCGCCCTGTGGCCATCATCCACGTGGTGGCCAGGGTCCAGGCGAGGCTGCGCAAGCCGCTGGCGGACGCCTGGGAGCGCAGGAACGACCGCCCCTACTTCTGGGCGTCCAGAGGCAAGGGCTGCGAGAGGGCGGTGTGGCAGCAGGCGGTAGAGTGCGAGTGGGCCTCGGCGAAAGGGCGTGAGGCTGGTGGCGCCTCTAGCTGGGTGTCAGCGCTGGTGCTGCTCGACCTGCTCAAGGCGTACGAGCAGGTGCAGCACGGGCGCCTCATCCAGGCGGCGGTGCGAACGGGCTTCCCGCTGTGGCAGCTCAAGCTGCAGGTCAGCCTCTACAGATCTCCGAGGTGGCTTGCGCTGGGAGAGGCCTTGAGCAACCCCATCGCCACCAAGCAGGCGGTGCTGCCAGGCGACGGCTTCGCCACGCTCATGCTCAAGATGATGCTGATCGAGCCCCTCGACAAGCTGCAAGCGCTGGTGCCCACCGTCTCCCTGTCGGTGGTGGTGGACGATCTCATCCTGAAGCGTGTCGGAGGCCTGCGGCGCACGGTGGATGAGGTGGCGACGGCGACACGGCGCCTCAAGGAGCTCCTGGGGAAGGCCGACCTTCGCATCGCCACCAAGAAGTCCAGGGCCCTCTCCAACTACCCTGAGGCGAGGCACGAGCTGGAGCGGAGGCTGCAGAGGACGGCAGGCGTCACTGCGGCGAGGCAGGAGCGCAACCTGGGCGTCGACTTCAGTGGAGGCAAGCGGCTCGGACGTGAAGTACGAGCAGGAAGGATGCAGCAGGCCCAGCAGCGCCTTCGGAGGGTGAAGATCGTCAAGATGACGAAAGGCAGGAAGCCCGCGACGAGGAGGCTCGCGAAGACCGCCCTGCACCCCAGCATCGGGTACGGCACGGCCATCACAGGCTGCACCACGACCGAGCTCGATCGTGCCAGGTCCCTGACGTTCGTGGCGGTGTCGAACACCACGGCGGAGAAGTCAAGGACCCTCACGATGATGCTCCAGCCAGGGCTCGACCCGATAGTCGACGCCACGTGCAAGCCCGTGCAGATGCTACTGCGCGCGGTGTGGGAGGGCTGGGTGCCACGCCACATGGTGGTCTTATGCCTGCAGGACGCGCGCACGGTCACGTGGGCCCACGTCCAGGGCCCTTGCGCGGCGACGCTTCTCTCGCTGCGGAGGATTGACTGGGAGGTCGTCACGGCCAATTGCTGGAGGATGGACGATGGTGGCCTCCTTGCGCCGTTTGACATCTCCCCGTGGATCGTGATCAAGCTGGTGCAGCGGGCCATCGTGAAGTGGCAGTGGAGACAAGCCAGCCTGGCGCCTGGGTGCGCTCACCTGGCGGAGGGCGGGACGCTGGAGCCGCTCATCAGGCTCACCTCCACTGGCTGTGTCACGAGCGTGGCGGACAGGAGGGACGGTATCGCCGCGGGCACCAAGGTGCGGCTCACCCTCAAGGAGCGGGCGTACCTCCACTCCCTGGTGGTCAATGGGCAGTGGCCCCAGGCGCGCAAGGAGGAGAAGGGCCTTGCCGAGTGTGCTGAGTGCCTGCGGTGCGGGGGCAGAGGGACGCTCCTGCATCGCCACTGCGATTGCGAATGCTGGAGAGAGGTGCTGACGCTTCCGAAGGAGATCGCGGACCTCAGGAAGCGGAGCCACCTGCCCGAGGTCACCCTGCTGTTGGAACGGTGCCTGTGGCCGACGCCGCCTGGGCTACGCAAGCCACGGGCCAGTGACCTGGTGTGCTGGCGCGGCGACCACGACGGCGGGGTCCTCCCTGGTGGCGAGTTCTTCCTCGACGGCTCCGCGTTCGAGGCCGACTTCGACGAGTTCGCATCGGTCGGCTGGAGCGTGGTCGCCTTGCAGCCCGATGCCGATTGCTACCTGGCCTCCGTTGCTGGGCAGTTGTGCGGCGCCTACGTCGACATCAACGGGGGCGAGCTCATGGCGGTGATCATGGCGCTGCGGTTCAGCATGGGCGTGGTCACGCTGGTGGTCGACTCGAAGTACGTGTACGACGGCTTCTACAAGGCGGGTCGCACGAACACTGCCGCCTACGCGTACTCCTGGGCGCACCTGTGGCGGCTGGCGTGGGCCCTGGTGGACGACAGAGGAGGGCTTGGTCGTGCAGTGCACCTCCGATGGGTCCCTGCCCACCGCACCAGGAGGCAGGTCGTGGACGGCGCCATCAGCTACCGCGACTGGAAGGGCAACTCGTACGCCGACGCAGCTGCGAAGGCGGCGGCTGCCCAGGGCCGTGCCTCGGCCGCCGATCGCCGCAAGCTGCACCTGGCTCGGCAGCAGGTGGACTTGGTGGCCATGTGGTGCACTGCGGTCGGCACATGGGTGGATGGCAGCGACACCACCCATCGCAAGGAGCGGCCGAAGAGGGCGGTTCGGCGGCGCCGTGAAGCCTCCGCGTGGCTGAGCTGCAGCTGGCGCGGGAAGGGCAAGGACAGATGGTGTGAGGTCTGCAGGTGGACCAACCGCGCTGGCGAGTGCCCTGGCAGCATCCTGGAGGACGCGGTGAAGGCCAACGAGCTGCTGGTGCAGAAGGGGCTCGCGGCGCACGACCTGGTCGCCATCGCTCCTGTGCTGGACAGCGAGCTGGAGCGGAGGTTGCCGTTGGTCGCATGCACCAGGTGCGGGTTCACTGGAGCCGCTCGCGCCTGCAGCTTCGGGCTGGAGTGCAAGACGCCGCCCTCGGCCGCGGGCAGCGCGGCTATCGCGCGCCTGCGTGCTGGGCTCGCGCCCAGGATCGCGAGCGAGGTTGCCGTCACGCTGCGGCGCCTTGGCGGTGGCGAGCCGACGGCAGCAGCAGAGGAGGTGGGCGCTGGCCCCGCCCCTCCTCCCGCCGAGCCCATCAGTGGGAGCCCCGTCGCTCGTGGCGAGGACGGTGGCCAGAGCGTGCCACCTATGAGAGGTGAGGACTGGGGCTCTGAGGCGGCGGAGGGCGTCAGAGGCGGCGACGGCGCTGGAGGTGAGGACTGGTGCGCCGCTGGAGCAGCTGCAGAGGCCGCGGCGACCCCCACGACCCCTGGGGAGGGCGAGGCCGATGGGGAAGGCCGAAGGGACGCCAGCGGCCCAAGAGGAGTGGAAGGGCCGCCAGCGCGGCGCCACCAGGGGCCTCCGCCGCGGGCTCACCGCCCTGCGGGCGGGGGCGAGGACGAGGGCGCGGACTCTGCTGAGGCGGCAGAGAGCGGCCCAAGAGGGGTGGAAGAGCCGCCAGTGCGGCGCCACCAGGGGCCCCTGCCGCGGGCTCACCGCCCTGCTGGCGGGGGCGAGGAGGGAGAGGGAGCGGCCGCGGGCTCTGCGGAGGCGGCGGAGGCAGCGCGGCGGAGCTCTGTGGTCGCCTCGCTCCTGGCCGCCTACCGCCGCGGCTGTGACGCGGCGGGGCTGAGCGACGGCGCTGCTGCGCGTACGCCCCGCACTGGAGGCCCCCAGGGGGCCAAGCCAGGCGGGGTTGCTGGACTCGCCTCGGACCCTGGCGGCGGGGGGCCCCGTGTGGCCTCCGTGGCTCCCGTGCCTGTGGGTGCCGCCAGGCCCGAGGGCCTGGGGTGAGTGCGGCCGTCTAGGACCCCGCTTGCGGGGTGCTAGGGGCGGTCGCACTCACGCGGCGGGGGGGCCTCGTCGCCACTGCGGCCTCGCGTGGGGCGCGAGGTCGCGCTCGGGGCGGTCCTGGCTCGACTGGACCGCTCTATGCCGCGCCGATCCTCCTCCCTCCTCCTCCTCCTCCTCCTCCTCCTCCTCCTCCTCCTCCTCATCATCATCATCATCAGCATCAGCATCAGCATCAGCATCATCATCATCATCATCATCATCAGCATCAGCATCAGCATCCTCTTCCTCCTCCTCCTCGTCCACCTTTCCCTCTTGTTCCTCCTCCTCTTCTTTTGCGTTGTCCTTTTCCTCTTCCTCCTCCTCTAGATCATCATCACTAGGCTCCTCCAGCTTAGTCATAACCTCCTCCTCGTCATCATCCTAATCTGCCTCCGCTTCCTCTTGCTTCTCCCTCTTACTCACAAAATGAATGTGTTAGGAGACCCTACGTGCTGTCCGCCACCGAAAACCCGAGAGCATTACTTGTTGGGAGGGATGGCATCAAAGAGCTGTCAAATCGGCCCAACATGCCCGAAACGGCATGGTAACATGTGGCACATGGCTCAACATCTATTCCTGATCTTTGATGCGTGCTCGAACGCGACTTTTTACAATGTCAGCATGCCTAAGACTCAGTAGTACTATCATTATCCTCCTCCGCCTCCTCCAAAAGTTGTTCCACCTCCTCCTGTTGCAAAAGATAGCCGCGTCCCAAGCCCGAGAAGGTCCCAAGACAAACCCAAGAAGGCCCCCAGGAGGCCCCCTTTACAAACAGCGCAGCAGTGGGAACATGTGACATATGCCCAACAAATGTTCCCACCGTTCCCGCGTGCCTGATACGTTTCCACGGCGGCCCGTTCCACTGCGTGCTTCAACAAAATCCTGATTCGAGCAACTCGCATGGCGATAGTTCCTGGATGGGTTTCAGGGGGTACGTTTTTGAACGCGACCGCGAGCGAACACCCGCGCGGCGTCACAAAAACGGGCAGACAAGCGAGGGGCAGCTACGTCGAACCGGCTACGCGGCACCGAGAGCAAAGCGAGGGGGGCGAAACGACGAAGGAACAAAAGCGAGAGAGAGCGCGAAGAGAATAAAGACGGCAGAACGAAAAGAGCGCGACGAGAGACGAACCGAGGGAGCGGGAAGAAGAAAAGAAAAGCCGCAGCTCAGAAGTGGAACAAGTATTGGCTGCAGGGGATTCACGAAATATCCCAAATTTCAAAGGGAATCCAGCCTCGGCGACGAGGGCCTCGAAGGAGGAAGGGCACCAGTATCGTAATATTTCCTCCGCTGAGCCTCAGGACCCCGAACTCGCCCGCACCCGCGCCCACATAGCGGTAGGACGTCTCCGCCGCGTAGTCGCCACAGCCCGCGCCCACGTACGACAGCGAGGTGTGCCCCCCCTCCGCGCCGGCGCCGCCGCAGGCGACCCCGCAGCACTCGGCGCCAGCCCCCCCCGCGCCATAGCCGCCGCCGTACGCGCCGCCGGCGCCGTAGCCGCTGGCGAGCCCGCTGCCATACATGCCGCTGGCGCCGTAGCCGCTGGCGAGCCCGCTGCCATACATGCCGCTGGCCCCGTAGCTGCTGCCGAGCCCACTGCGGTACGCTGGCGAACTGGTGAACGCACCTCCGTGGGATCCCATCTGCATGACGCCGCGGCGCAGCCCGAAACGCCTCGCCCTCGAGCGAGGCCCGAGCACAGAACAAGCCTGAGCAAGAGCGGCTACGGCATGGACGGGAGGTCCCTTCTGGAGATCGGGACTGCCCCCTGAATGGCAGGGCTACGAGGGCGCCCGTGCTTCAAAAGGGCGCTGCCCGCAATGAACATTAGCACATGCTTGGGCTAACGTATGAGCAAGGGGCTTCGGACGGGGTGGTGTGTTGTAGGATCGCTGATGCACCTTGGATTTAAGATGCTCCTCCTCCACCTCCTCCACCTGCTCCTCCTCTCATCCGATCCTGGTCCGCCCCTGATCTCCGACGTCATTACTGTTCAGTTCAGCGGGCGGCGCTCTACGCATCCAGGCCATGCAGAGCAACTCGAGAACCGAGAAACAAGGAAGACGCGAACGAACCGAACACAGCCCATACTTCGACGAAGGGGACACCAACATCGTCCCGTGCATTCCAACCCTCGCCTCCTGACCCACCTTCTTCTCGTCATGTCATCTATTCGCCCATCGCCCCCCGCGCCCAAACCCCTCCTACGTCATCCTCCCGCGTCAGTTTTCCTACGTGTTCCTCCTCCTCCTCCTGCAACTCCACCTCCCTCTCCCCACCTTGTCCTCCTCCACCTCCTCCTCCTCCTCCTCTTCCTCCTCCTCCTCCTCCTCCTCCTCCTCCTCCTCCACCTCCTCCTCGTCCTCCTCCTCCTCCACCTCCTCCTCCACCTCGTACTCCTCTTCCTCCTGCTCCTTCTACTGTTCCTTCCTCCACCCCGTCCTCCTCCTCCGTCCCCCTCCTGGTTCCTGCTCCATCCTCTCCACCCACCCATCAATCTTCTCATTCCGCCCCCTTCCCCCTTTTCCTCCCCTCGTCCTCCTCCCCTTCCTGCTCCTCTTCCTCCCCCCTGTTCCTTCTCTACTTCCTCATGTTGAGCCGTTGATGATGGGATGAGAGTCGCACCGACGCTGCACCTCCCCAGGGGCAGTTGCCATTGAGAAGGGGTTGATCCAATTACGATCTGCAGAACAAGCGTGGGCAAAGTACGGACAGACCCCCAGGGGCGGGCAACTAGGTCCCATCCGCCCGGGGAGAGTGAGAGAGAGGGAGGGGGAGGACAAGAGGCATCCCCGAACAGAGAGAGGAGGAAAGGAGGGCGGCGACAGTGGAACGTGGTCTTGCGGCTGGCGGTAGGGTGCGCAGACTGTAGCCACACGGCCGCAGTCGCCGAAGGTTGAAAGGCGCAAGGGCCTTTCCCCCTACCCATCGGGAGCGCCGCAAAACGGTTCTTGTCTGTCGTGTCCGTGGGTCCTGTTTCGTCTGCACCCCGTTGTCCCTGGGCTCCGGCTGTCAGGCACAGTTGTCGTGAGGGAAACGCCGCGCCTTGGGCGCTGCTGTCTCGCACGGGCCTCGAGGAGGCATGACGCGCGGTGGGCGTGCCCTGCGCGCGTCTGGCGCTCCCGCCCACCCAACTGCTGCTTGACGCACCGCGCTCGGCTGATTGCTGGGACCAGGCTCGGAGCTGTTTCCCAGACGCCCAGCCCAGCAGCAAGCATTGTCTTTGCCCGCTGCTCTTGCGGCGGACAGCCGGAGGACAGTCTCCAGCACGCCTTGATACTCCCATGCTCCTGAGCCACGTGGCAAAGGTTAAACGGTTCTACTAGCACATATGCGTGACTGGGGGCCCCCATGAGAACTCACTCGATGCCCCGCTCGAAGGCGCGCCCATGCAGGTGGCGAAGAATTTGAAGTGCAACTTGAGCTCGTTCTCCCTGCTTTTCTCCTCGCCCAAGACCACGCGCAGCTCGTGCTCCAACGACCAGCCCCGCCCCCCAAAAGGCCACGCGTGAGCGACGCGCGTGCGACAATTCGGGGTGACGATACGTCTGGAGGCATTCGCTTGCGCCCCCAATCCAGCGGCGATTCTTGGGGGCAACACCTGTGCCGGCCTGCTCGACCTTGGCCCATCTCCCCTCGGACGGCAGCCTCTCGCGAGGAAGCGTTCCTGAGCCGACCGTCGCAATGCGCCTGGCCAAGGCGGATGAGGCAAACGAAGTTTTTTCCGCGGGGTGGCTGCGGCACTCTGCGCGACGGAAAACGTCGCGCCGAGCGACGCGACCTCCTCGAGCGACGCGGCGCCGCCGGGGGCGGGCTGCCCCAGCGACCGCCGGCTCCCGCGCTGCCTCTGCGCGCGCGACGCCAGGGCCGCGATTGCAGTCGCGGCGCGAAGCCCTCAATCTGCATGCCCTGAACGACCGCAACCACGGGGCGGGCAATCAACGCCCGTGCAAAACCCAATGTCATGGTACGCTCCGCGAACGCGTTGCGGGCCGACTCGTCTGCCCAGCCGAGAACGCGCGCATGGCGGTCCGGCCAGGTCCGACGCGCGTTCCTGGGCAGTGCGCACCGTCCGCGAGGAACCAAAGCACGAAATCCAACTGGATAACTGTCGCGTCGCAGAGTACGCGGCGCTGAAGTGGACTCTGCGCCCAACGGGTTACGGGGGATGATTGACGATGATCAAGCATGCCGCAATCGCAGCACAGGCCGCATCCCTGACAGGTGGCCCAGGGCTTGCCGAGCGCTTCGCGCGATGCGCATGCCCCAGCAGAGGCCTGCCAAGGGCTACGCGCAATGCGATGCATCAACAGAGCGATATATGATAATCGAGAACGCTGCAATTGCAACATCCCGACAAGTCCCCCTAACCCCCTGACAGGTGACCCGCCGCTTGCTGACCGCCTCGTGCGATGCACGCGCCCACAACATGCCTGCCAAGCGCGTCGCGCGATGCGACGCAGCCAAACCAAGACCTCGCTCAACCTCTCCGGATAGACGCGCTGGAAGATCTTCAGTTCGACCGCCCCCCTGCGTTGCAGGTTGCAAAGTGGCTGACGCTTGAAACATAACATGAGCATCGTGGGCAGTATCCAGAAGAGCAGGCAAGCCTCGACACACCTCAGAAGCAACTCCCAAGGTCACCCCCCTCGAAATCGGCGCGAGCAGCGGCGGCGACGGAGGAGCGATGAGCGACGAAGTATGATGACGCGAATCCAATTACGACGGCATCAGAATTCGCCGGCCCAAGGGGCCAGAGGCGTACCAAGATCTCCGGTCACTAGATATGTTTTTTCCAGTTCGCAATCGCGGGGCCGCCTCCGGGGTCCCTGGACGAATAGGACCCCACAAAACCCTGGGCCAGGTCCCGGCAGACTCGGGTCAAAAATGGCGTTGCTCCTGGGGGCGGTTTTCGGGGCCGAATAGGGCCCGCGAATCGGAATCACGTCGCGAGAGCGCTCCAAGACTCCAAGACGCCCAAGATGGCCCCAAGACGGCCCAAGAGGCACCAAAGAAGCCCAAAGAGCGCCCCAAGAGGACCCAGGACCCCAAAGAGGGCCAAAAGATAAATCAACCATTGATGCTCCTATGTTTTCCTACGGTGTTTCGCGTTCTCGCCTATTCGGGCTTCTGACGCTCCAAGATGGCCCCAGAGGCCCCCAAGACCGCCCCGAGACGGCCCGAGAGGCTCCCAATATCGCCCCAAGACGGTCCAAGAAGGCCCCAGAACGGCCCCCCGAGGCGCCCAAGATCGCCACAGAGGGCCCCAAGACGGCCCCAAGACGGGAAACACGAACCAACAAATGTTAGCCTTCCGCCCCAAGAAGCCCCCAGGAGGTCCCAAAAGCCCCCCCAACAGAGCCCAGGAGGCCCCCTAGAGGCCCCCCAATAAGCCCAACAAGAAAATCCACGAGGCCCCCAACCGGCTCACAAGAGGCCGCGAACGCGCAAGCGAACGCCTGCGATGGCACAGTGTGGGCCGGCGGAATGCACGAAGAGATCGAATGAAGAAATAGCAGGTCCGCTTCCGTGCTCGTGCTTGAGCCGGTTCTCGTAGATGTGTAGGTTTCCGCTGCCTCCTCCTAACTTGCGGGCCTCGATGGTTGTTGCGCTAGTCGTCGACGGTGGCCTGTGCGCGCGGTCGGTGGAATCCGGACTTCGCCTCCAGTCTGGGCGCCTCAAGTGCGACGTTGTTCTATTTGATTGAACTGGGCGAATTTCTCTGCGGCGAATTTTCTGTTGTTTCTCACCTCCTGGATCAAGCGCTGGTTGTCCTCGTTGAGCGTCTTGCATATTGCACCTGCGCCGATCCTTCCGTTGGTTATCCATCCCTTCTGTGCTTCCTTGCTGGATTGGGCGGCCTTGTAGGTTGAGGTAGTTCGGGTTTCGCCTTGGCCTCGTCGTCCGCCGCGCAAGTGTCAACATATGCGTCGTCACTGGCGTGGTTGACGTCGTCCTTAATAAATCTAGATCGCAATGCTGTTTTCCCTGGAGGTCATGTAGTTGGCATTCTCTTTGTGATGCGACTTGCTGGACTCCAGGAGGTCCTCCATGACCTGGTTAGTTCGACCGATCTGCCTTTCTTGTTGGGCGATCGATATGCTGCTGGTGATCGTGGCGTTTACGAGGGTGGTTTGACGTGACATTCTGCGTAAACTGGCGATGCTCTTCATAATGGCACATGCTACACATCCGCGTTCTGTGATATGGATATACTCGCCCACCCATCTCTGAACTTGTGGTTGTTTGGTGTGTTGCCCAGTGGTCCCTCCGGGTATCGTAGAACTCGCGCATGGACAGGATGTTGATCATGGTCATGTTGGCGTAGCCGCTGTACTCCTGGTTGTCGTCGCGCTGCTTTTTTGTTTTCGCAAGTGAACCCTCGTCTTGGTCAGACTGTTGATTGCCCCTGCCGGTCTCAACTTTTTCCTTGCCCTTCAGTTGTTGGCTGCTGTCGTCGGTGTGCTCGTCGCAAGTTTCGGGGATGTGGCCCTTGCCTTTGCCGTTGCTCCCCGGTTGCTCGTTCTGTGCCCTTGTTCCAGTCGGCGTGTGGGCGTTGGGCTGCCCCTTGTGCCGCCCGTTGGTCATTCTTCGACCTGTGCAATCCCAGCCCAACTGCACTCGTAGAAGGCCTAGTAGGTGGAGGCTTGTCCGGCGGTCGGCTTGCGGTGGATCGCAACGGCGCAGCTATTGTAGAAACTTGTGGTGGATGTCACTGTGGTTGACGCGGCGACTGCTGTGTGCTGTGCTGTACAGGAGAAACTCTCGTGCTTGGTGAAGACGCAGCAGAGCACGTCCGCGACGAAACCGTTTGTACCAAGCGGGACTGCGGGACCTCTCATTCCGTGAGACCTTAGTTGTGACTGTAGCGGTGGTCATGGCCAATGTCGGTCGCGATGAGAGCTGGTGTAGAAATTTGCGGGCTTCAGTGGCCTGTGAAGGCCGCGGTGCCCGCCAACGGCCACCACGTGGGGCAAGTGGGGGCGCGATCGGGCGATCGCGACTCTTCTCTTTCTCCTCCTCCTCCTCCTCCTCCTCCTTCTCCAACTCTTCCCCCCCCTCCTCCTCCCCTCCTTCTACAATTACTCAATATGAAAATACTCTCCCTCTTCCCCTGATGGCGTCCGGGTGATGGCCGCGCACCCTCCGCGTACTGTTTTTTTTACATACAAGATTCCCGGGAAATCCCGGGAAACGACTCTCGCTGAGGCGCCGGCGTCATTTTTTCCCAAAGTGCTGCTCTCGTTGAGGCGCCGGCCTCATTTCTGCTCCCGAATCGTTCCGAATCGTGCTCCCGCTGCAGCGTGGGCCTCATTTTCGGATCGGTGTTTGGCCTCCGTCGTTCAGGATGGCGTTCTCGCCCCAGCGCGGGCCTCTTTCTCGCGCGCCCATCCGCCCGCCACCACCGCGCCCACCACCACCACCACCACCACCACCACCACCACCACCACCACCACCACCACCACCACCACCAACACCACAACCAGCACCAGCACCAGCACCAGTACCAACACCACCACCACCAGCACCACCACCACCAGCACCACACCACCACCACCACCACCACCACCACCACCACCACCACCACCACCACCACCACCACCACCACCACCACCACCACCACCACCACCACGACAACCACGCACACACGCACGCACGCACGCACGTGCACCACCACCCACTACGCACGCGCGCGCGGAGCCACAGGTCCGCTACGACACGCGTCCGCGGATAGAGAAAATCAGCGCCATGGTAAGGGATGGGAGGGAGGGGTAGGACGTCAGATATGACGCGAGCGCACCTAGCTTCCCTCCTCCCACTCCTCCTCCTCCTCCCTCCTCCTCCCTTCTCCTCCTCCTCCTCCTCCTGCTCTTCCTCCTCTTCTTCCTCTTCCTCCTCCTTCTCCTCCTCCTCCTCCTCCTCCTCCTCCTCCGACTCCTCCTCCTCGTCCTCCTCCTCCTCCTCCTCCTCCTCCTCCTCCTCTTCCTCATCCTCCTCGTCCCCCTCCTCTCGCCATCGCGCTGTAAGCCTCCCAGGCCTGCTGGCGCAGTGAAAACCCACCACCACCAGCACCAGCACCAGCACCACCACCAGCACCAGCACCACCAGCACCACCACCACCACCACCACCACCACCACCACCACCCACCACCACACCACCACCACCACCACCACCACCACCACCACCACCACCACCACCACCACCACCACCACCACCACCACCACCACCACCACCACCACCACCACCACCACCACCACCACCACGACAACCACGCACACACGCACGCACGCACGCACGTGCACCACCACCCACTACGCACGCGCGCTCGCGGAGCCACAGGTCCGCTACGACACGCGTCCGCGGATGGAGAAAATCAGCGCCATGGTAAGGGATGGGAGGGAGGGGTAGGACGTCAGATATGACGCGAGCGCACCTAGCTTGCCTCCTCCCACTCCTCCTCCTCCTCCCTCCTCCTCCCTTCTCCTCCTCCTCCTCCTCCTCCTCCTCCTCCTCGTCCCCCTCCTCTTCTTCCTCTTCCTCCTCCTTCTCCTCCTCCTCCTCCTCCGACTCCTCCTCCTCGTCCTCCTCCTCCTCCTCCTCCTCCTCCTCCTCTTCCTCCTCCTCCTCGTCCCCCTCCTCTCGCCATCGCGCTGTAAGCCTCCCAGGCCTGCTGGCGCAATGAAAACCCACCACCACCACCACCACCACCACCACCACCACCACCACCACCACCACCACCACCACCACCTGAACGGGCGCAAGGCGCGCCAAGTCTGCGGGTGCGGGGGGGGGGGCCAGGAGGCTAGGATCGGGGCGGACGAACGGGTGGGATAGGAAGGGGCGGGTTGGCTAATCAGCTCACGCAGCTGTTCTTGTTTGGCGCCTCCCGGGCGCCAAAGGCGCCAATACATCGAGCATGCCGCCCAGCGGCGAGGATCGGGGACGCGACCCCGGTTAATGCAAACCCGTGTCAGTCAGGCCTTACAAGATCCTGCAGGGTCATGCAGGATCCTGCACGCTAGCCCGGGCCAATGCACCGCTGGCTCTGCAGGATCCTGTAAATCCAGAGAGCTGGCTGATGACGCCCATCTCAAGGCTCCCGACACTGGATCTGGTTTTGGAACGTCGGAAAATTATGGAACGGCACCGGTCCGCAGAACGTCGGCCACCTCCGCAAGCAGGCGCAGGGGGGGAGAAGTCCCCCCCCCCCCGCGCGCCCGCGCTTGCACTGACCCCGGTCAAGGCTCCCGCGAGGAGGACCGGGGGGATGGCTGGCAAAAGGAAGGCAAGCCCTCCCCGGGCGGAGCTTTTCACCGAGCTGCGCTCACGCAGGCATGGGTGGCGGAATGGCTCAGCACGGCTCTGGCTGCGTTACACGCTTCGGCTTCCGCTGAGTGGCCAGGCCATCTGCCCTCAGCAAGGCCATCCGGGCTTGGCTTCCCTGCCTGAAGCAGGTGCTCCTCCCCGAGAGGAGCCAGCCGGCGTGAAGGAGACGGGGCCTGGAGGAACGGGGCCCCGGAGAGCTGATCGCCGTTTGTGCTCGGGCCTGGAGGCCCCCCACGGGCACCAGGAGCGTCGAACAATGGTTCGGGGGAGATCCTGGTGTACACCAGGGCTCGAACTAAACAGCGTGTTCCGTTTTCGTGCTGCTGTTCGCTCGCCCTCACTCTGTCTTCGTTCCGCCTTTGGCGCAACACGGAATCACAACGCAGCCGGCCCACGGAATTGCCAAAACACCGTTTAGCTCGAGCCCTGGCGCACAGTGGCCATCCCCCGATCTCGGCAGCGCGCGCCGCGCACGGGGCCCACGACCAGAACCCCTAGAAGCCGCCTAGATGGGGTCCGAGTACGAGTAGATGGGGTCGGAGGACCGCGCAGCATCGCCAATGTATCGCCAGTGTATCGCCGATGCATCGATGACGTATCGGCGACGTCGACGGCGTGTCGGCGACGTCGGCGTGGAGAAAATCGGGCTCCGCATCGCGCCCCATCGGCGATGCAGCGGCGATGCGGCACGATCCTGCGACCCCATCTGCCGTCGGGGCCTTGACCCAAGGAACCCTAAATAGAGAGCGAGGCCCCTTTTTTCCGTGTAAGTTAACCTCCGATTCCCCGTCGAAAACATAAGGAAAGCGCGAGGCAAGCTCTGAAACACTCAAGGAACGCGGAGCCCCTCCCCAACGAACAGGGCTCCTTCTTCAGGGCCCCGACTGCACTGCGCTGCGACCCCCTCTGGCAAGCCTGGAACCCCTGCGACCCCGCCGCTGCGCACAATCGGCCCGCCGGGCCGATCCGCGAGAGGCCCCATCAAGGCTGAACGCGGGGCAAGCCGCGGCCCGAGGGGCTCGGGCGGCGGTGGCCCCCGCAGCCTCCGGTCGGGCTCGCACTCGACCTGGACCACGGATCCGTAGATTAGGGAGCTCACGAAGGACGTACGCGCACAGCTGTGCACATGAGCACGGCCCCCAGATCCGCGAGACCGGCCGCGTTTGACGAACCTTTGCGCAATGCGTACTCTCGAAACCAACGTGGATTCATGTACGTGTACGTCCTTCTGTCGCTCCTGATAGATCTGGCACGTGGGCGCCGGATTCGACCACGAGCGAGAGGGGGGGGGGGGCGAGCAGGAGAAGGCCCTCTCGGAAGGCGGCGGGGCTTCTCGGAAGCCCCCCGCCCCTCTGAAACAACGTATGCGTGTGTTCGGGGGAGGCTAAGAGACCTTCTCAAAGAAGGTAGGGGGACCTCCGAGCTTCTGAGAAGGCCCGCCCCTTCCTCTGGATCCCCCGATCCCTCCACGAAGACGACCGACGACGTCGACGACGACAGCGAGGACGGCAAAAACAAAGCCGCCGCCACCAAGCGACGACGAGAACGACGAAAACAACCACGACGGAAACGATGACGACAAGTGGGGGGACAAAAACGTACTCACACCGCTACTCCCCAAACATCTCCCGGGTTGCGTTCTGACCAGGACTCCCACTGAATCCAGCCGTGGCTACGTGAGCTCTCCAGATCGAGCAGCGGCATCAGTACTTTCTGAGCAGCGGCAACGAGCAGCTCCCCAGAGCTCCCATCTGAACGAGGGCTGCGGGCACGGCGACGACGGCGAAGACGACGATCGGCGAACGGTGGCGGTGACCAACCCGCAGCGGGCACTGGTTCCTGAAACCATGAGGATCGTTCAACTGCTTTTCGATCGCCAGTGCGTTCCAAACTGGCCGATCCTGGGCCACTGCCGGCGTTCAGCTTAAAAACGCCCACGAGGGGGTCGACGCCGCGTCGACAAGACACGAACCGTCCGTACAGTAGGGGAGCTCGACCACAAGAAACCTTCCACAAGAAACCCAATCCTGAGACCCCAGGACGTCCGCTGGTTTTTGGTGTGAGAATGTCACGCGTTCCATCGCAAAGCCACCAAAACACAAGAAACCCAGGGCACCCTTAAAGCAAGCAGGGTGCTTCTTGGCATGTGTCTCCACTGTAGGGCGGCGGGGGCGGCGACGAAGGCGACCGAGACGACGATCGGGCGAGAGGCCGCGACGACGATCCCGCGGCGGGCGCGTACCGAGCGGAGGCGGGGCCCATGGCGAGAGCGCCCGACGCGCGCCCCGGCCCCTCGGAGAGCAGCGCGCGGCATGTCGGCCGACGTCGTCGCCGCAGGGTCGAAGGACAGAGACTCCATGCCTGAGGCGCGTCCCGCCGCCCCAGAACGTGCTCCCCGCGACGCCCTCGTCGCCGAAGGGTCGAAAGATCTTTTTGTTCCTCCTCCGCCTCCGCCCGCGGCGGAGCGCGGCCACAGCTCTCTTGGAGCGGACCCGGCGAGAGAGACCCCCCTGCGGCACGGCGCCGTCCCACGGGGAGAAGCCACTGCCTGGACTCTACTCCTCCTCATCCCCCTCCTCCTTCTCTTTCCCTTCCTCCCCCTCCTCGTCCTCCTCCCTCCTCCCTCCTCCTCCCTCCTCCCTCCTTCCTCCTCCCTCCTCCTCCTCCTCCTCCTCCTCTTCCTCCTCCTCCTCCTCCTCCTCCGCCTCCTCGACGATCGTCGGCGTCGTCGGAGCAGGAAGGATACGGGACGACGCCGACAACAACATATTACACAAGAGGAGGCGCCGGTGCGCCTCGGCCCCCTGATTGGGCAGCGGGGCGGCGGAGGACGGGCGGGAGGAAAGAGGGAGAAAAGAAGAGGAAGGGCGAGGAGGGGCAGCGGGCGGAGAGGGGAAGCGCTCCAGAGCGGAGGACAGCGAGGAGCGGGACGGGGAGGGATGGGAGCGAGACGGAGGCTGGAAGCAAGGAGGGCGGCGGCGCGAGGAGGAGGCGCGGAAGGAAGTGAGCGCGGCGACCGTGCGCGCGCCCCGGTGCGCTTTCGCCGCCGCGGCCAGCTCCGCAAGTATCCGGCCGCGGCCGCGTGCCCAGAGCCTGCGCGCCGTCGGGCGGGGGGAGGGTCCTCCCCAAGAAACAAGAAGGGGGGATTGTGAAAAGCAGTTTGCCATGTCGCGGGGGATGCTTTTGAAGAGGACGCTCACATAATCTCAATGACGACGACGCTCACGCGACGAGGATGACAAGGGCCAAAAAGCGCACTGAACTATACAGATGCTTTTGGAGAGGAGGATCACATCATCTCAACGACGACGACGCCCACGCGAGGATGATGCTGACGAAGACGACGAGCATGCGTGCCGTCGGGCGGGGAGGGGGGGCAAGACCTTTTTTATGCTACTGCTTGAAGCGACGCTGAAGGAGGAACGGAGCCCCTCTTTGGCTACAAAAGCGCCACGCCACTTCCGAATCCGAACTGTCCCTTGTTCCAGCGTCTTGGCTGCACGCCTCTTTTGCCTCCTCGTGATCCTCCCCCACACAAGATCAATCAACATCGAATCGAGAAATCGGATCGGATCGGAATGCTCGTCGGATCGGGTCGCATCGGCACGGAGCCCAGATCGAACCGGATTGGGCGCGCCAAGATGCACAGCTGCGGCGTGCGAGCATCGGGCCACAACGGATCGCAGGAAGATCGGAACTGGAACGGATCAAGCCACGTCCGAAATCGGCATCGAATCGAACTGGTGGGATCGACACGAGCCCTGCAGGGGGTTGGGAGCCCAGCAGCCTGACAGGCACGGCGCGTCACGGCCGGCATGGCGCGGGATCGATCGCTGGGCGCTAGGCCGACGCCCCTGCGCCCGGGTGGCTAAGCATCGAAGCGTGCCAACCAGCGGCGTGAGCTCTTGGCTCTACCGCGCCCGCCAGTGGCCCCAACACCCTCAGGCCCATTTGGAATAACACCAGACTGCATCGATATCGACTTCTGGAGGCTCGCGCGGGATTCTTGCGTCGGAGCTGGGCCCCTGTCGCACGGAGCGCGCCAGGGGCGACACCGCCAGCGCCGCCGAGGGGGTCCAGCGCCAGCCCCAGACATCCGCACCTCAGACACACCATGCTTGTGCAGTCGATTGTTCCCTTCGAAGTGGGGGGCCAGACGCGCGAGGCCCCCAGACATGCAGCACTGACGACATTTGTGTTGATGCGTGGGCCCCTGGACCTCTCGACCCTTCAGGACCGGCTTCTCGTCCCGAAGAACTGCTGGACGATCTCAAGACACGAAATCTCGACCTTCTGGCCGCCGTGTTTTTCTGGAGGCGGATGTCTGGATCTGGGGTCGTGAGGGGCGGGGCTCCGTTTCCAGCACATGCCTCGGATATCTCCTGCAGCCGCTCGGGACGCTGCGCCCCGACCCCTCCCCCCGCAAAGCTCCCGGCGAGGCGCAGCTGCTGGAGAGCATCCCTCGGCCACGCACTGACCTGCCCTTTGGGCCAACGCAAAACAACACAAAACTGGGTCGCACACAAAACCGGGTCGCACACAAGACTGGGTCAACCCTAACGTGCTGGAGAGCATCCCTCTGGGTCAGCACAAACCTGGGTGGGCCCGGGCCCTGTCGCGAAGCCGGGCCGGCCGCTCGGTGGCTCCCAGGCCCCGGGCAGCGGAGGGCGGACAAAAGGGGAGAGGGGCCCCGCGCGGCTCCCCGACCCAGGCCTGCCACAGGGCCTGGGCTGACCCCCGCTGGCGCGGACGCCGAATCCCGAAGCAGGAAGAGCCTCTGGGGGCCAGATCAGGGGAATCGGCCACTTCGGTGGAGACTCGGCTCGGAGACTTCGCCAGAGGCGCCGGGGGGGGGGGAGTCCGTCCTTCGGCGACGTCCACGGGGCGCAGCCCGCCGGGCCCAGGCGCGTCCAGCTCCTGGAGCGCCACAGAAGCACCCTCAGAGCAGGCGCCTCTCGAAGCGAGCTTGCCTCGACAAACGCGCCCGAGGAAGAACCGAACTGGAGCCCTCTCTGGAGGACGCCCGTGACTGGCCCCGCCCCCCCCCCCCCTCTCTCCCCCTGTCGCTCGCGTCGCGATTCGCGCAGGCGCCGTCTGGAATTCGCGACGTGACCGGCCCCCTCTTCCCTCCCCTGGTCATGCCCGTGATCACCAGGGGATTCAAGACCTGTTTCCTGGGCAGGACTGTTGGTGAACGTCCAGGAGTGCGCAGCAAAAACGCCACCCATGGGGGTCGGGGTGTGGTTCTCCTCCCTCGATGTGGGGGGTGTCCGAACTTGCCGTAACGGTCGTCAGAAGAGACTGCGGGGCCTGTCCCGAAATTCGACGAGAACTTTCCGTTTTCATAGTTCACTCCTTACGAAGCAACCGTTGGGCGCCCTACGCATCGAACCAAAGGAGCACCCATTTTGGAATGACCCCACCCCCCACAAACACTGTGCCCAGATATGGGATACATTGGCGCACCAGTCCGTGGACCCTGCCGCCCCCAGGCGCCTGCCCGCCCCCCATCCATGTTTTCTTCGTTTTCCCATGGCGGCGCTTCTGTTTTCCCTGTCGGTCAAGGTGGTCTCCACCCTGCCCCACGTTTCCTCGAAAATTGACGCCATGGGCCTGCATCAATGAATACCCAAGAGGGCAACAGGACGCCTCCCAGGACGCCCACGACAGCATAACAAAACTTCCTCTGGCGAAGGACCCAGCCACATGCAATTGTGAATACAGTGTTGTGGTTAGAACTTTTGGTTGAGCTCCCTCTGGGGCCACGAAACGTGCAAGGGGTGTGCCGATATGGTGGTAGTGGAGAGCATGCGAGGCGTGCCGTTGGTGCTTTAAGTGGAAGTCCCTCTGGGACCACGAGGCGTGTGAAGAGTGCGCCGACATGTGCCTGGGGTCCGCATGCGAACGTTGCCAAACAAGCCTTCGGTGCACGCGGCCACGGTCGTTGGGGCCACGAAGCGCTGTACTCGTCGAGGGGGACACATGCGGCCGCGCCCATTGGGGTCTTCGGTGGAGCTTCCTATGGGGCTACGAAGCGTTTTTTTTGACTGGGGGCGACGCATGACTCCGCAATCACTTCTGTCTTAAGCGGGGCTCCGTATGGGGCCACGAAGCGCTTTAGCGGGTTCGGAAACGCACGTGGGATCTGTCACCGGGGCCTTCCGTGGAGCTCCCCATGGGGTCACGAAGCGTGTGAGACATGTGCTGAAATGGGGCAAGGAAGCGCACAACGACCCCCCGGTGGGGCTTTCGGTTGAGCTCCCTACAGAAGCCACATGGTGTGCTGGTTGAGGGAAGCGCATGTGGACCAAGCCGCTGGGGCCTTCGGTGGGGTCCCCTGTGGGCCGCGAAACGCAATATTGGGTGGGGGGAGGACGCATGCTGCTCCCTATGGGCCACGAAACGCTGTTTCGGGCTGGAAGTGTCCCGTGGAACTTCCGATGGGCCAGGAAACGTTTTACTAAGTGGGGGGGGGGGGGGTCGTGGGCACTGCAAGTGGGGTCTGCGGTGGAGTTCACCAGGGGCCACGCAACGTCGTTTTGGGTAGGGGGTGGGGCGGCGCGTGGACACCGTGGCTTTCGGGTGAAACCCCCGGAAATGCTGGGAGGGGGGGGCACGCATGTGGAACCTGCCACTTGGGCCTCCCATGGATCCCAAGGGGCCACGCAGCGTTGTACTGAATAGGTGAAGGCGCATATAGACCGTGCCACTGGGGCCTTCGGTGAAGTTCCCGGTGGGGCCACCGAGCGATGCAATGAGCCGAGACGACGATGATGGAGGAGGAGCTGCTGCTGCTGCTGTTGTGTTGCTGCTGCTGTTGCTGCTCACGGCTGCAGGGCAATCGAACACAATTAACAATTATACCTGACCCCACACGCTCCAACTGCACGCTCCAACTGACAAGTCAAACTTGTTTGTGCTGGCTGCTACAAGCCGAGACAGACAAATCAAACCAGAAAAGCCGAGGGACCGAGGCGGGAACCGCCACCGATTGGGCCGAACGAAGGACGAAAGAAACAACGAGCGAGGGCCAAGGACGGGCGACGAGGGCGCGAGGAGGGGGAGCAAAGGGAGCGGGCCCAGATCACCCGACAAATTTGTACGATGTCCGCCGTCCACACCCAGAGTGATACTACTGCGCCAAATGTGCACGGGAGCGCTGTCTAAGCTCGACGGCTTCGGAGCAGTGCATGCACGCGCGTCGGTTCCTTTCACTCGCCCGGGATAAACTGGTAGAAATCGAAGCCAGGCCGTCCCCACCCCCCAACCATCAAAGTTCAACGCAGGAAGCTGGGCGTGGCGATCTCGGGCCGGCAATCTAGCGCCTGCTATTTAAAGCGTCGACCCACGCCGAGGTATCCTTTTCTAGGTCGCCCGAAGGGGCAGCCCTCCGTGTGGCGGCGGCCGCATGTCGCCATGAAGCTCTCGAGGATGAGCATATCCTTGGCCCTGTCGTCTAGGACCACCGCGACTTTGATCGCGCCCAGAACCTTGCGCGACTTCAGGCGGCATCTCCGCGCGTAGTCGGGGAGTTCGTCGGCGAACGCTGCCTCCAGCGCAGCCATGCCCCGCCCTTTCGCCGCGCCCACTTCCTCGGCAAACAAGTTCACCGCCATGGCGGCGAAGAGCGCTGGAGTAGGGGGCCCCAAGGCACGCGGCTGCACAGGCATGTCCTCCGCGCCCATGCGCGGTCTTCCTCGCCGCAGTCGGGTCCGAGTCTTTCGCCTTCTTCGCCTCCTCCTCCAGAGACGTCGCCCGCGCTCGGCAGTTCCTTGCCGCTGACCGCAATCCTTCGACCCCGCCTGCGTGGCCTCGACCGCGGAGCCCTCGCTGCCCTCGCTGCGTTTCCCCGCGCTGCCCTCGCCCCCTGCGACGACTGCGCCAACTGCATCGGCAGCAAGAGGAGCCATTATGTCAGGCCCGCGCCATTCGCATTCAGCCCCCTCTCCTTCTGCGCGGCCCTGCGACGACCTCTACTTCGCACTCCGGGCTCGGTCGCTGCCCCCTCGGGCCCGGCCGCGCCTGCCCGGGCCTCGGCCCCCCCCGCGCCCGCGAGCTGCTTGCGGCCCTGGTCCTCGAACTGCCCGTCGTCTTTGGAGCCGCCCCCGACGGGTCGCCGACGCCGCCGAGGCGGTCCGCGCCCCTGCGCGCGCTGGGCGCCACCTGCCGCTCTACTCGACCACCATCAACCGTTGGCGCACGATGCGCGCGAAAGCGGGCCGCCGCCCGAATCTCGCCCCCTCGAAGACGCCCGCCGGCGACCACTTTCGGAGCGGGGCGGCGACGTGGTCTGGGCGCGGATGGCACTGGTCTCGGGTAACTAAAGACATGGATATGCCCTCCGGCGTAGGCGGCAAGCGCATGAGCAAACGGCGTCGGAGGGGGTCGCGCGCGCCGAACGCGCCGTGCCGCGGCGCGCACTCGTTAGACGCGATCTGCTTGAACGTGCGCGAGCACGCTGCAGTGCGCGCGATTCAGCGCTCTTTGCGCCACGAGCCTGCCAGGGGTCGCACCGCCCCCCTGCTCTGGAATAGGGGTTGCAGTTGATGAGTGCTCTGCTCGGCCTGAAGATGCTGAATATGCTTCCCCCCCCGCGCCCTGGCTGCCGCGATTGAAATGCGCGCGCGAGATTTGCCCGCGCATCGGCCCGTCGGCGCCCGAGGGAACAACGCTGGTGAGTACATCGGCATCTGGCTTCCTCAGCAGCTGGCACAGTCTCGCCCCGGGCAGCTGGCGGAATCTCTGCCGGCCGTGGTGGCGGGGCCGACTGCGCTGCAGTAAATGCATTGCGCAGTCGCCGCGGATCGAAGGAGGCGAAGGACGTCAACATCCTCGCCCCGCAGAGGGTCCACCATCGCCCCCCCGCGCGCCTACGCCTCGACGAAAGATTGCGCCTCGGGGTCGCTGCGCGCGACCTCCAAATCGAATCGCAGCTGCCGTGCCCAGGGGTGGGCGACCGCACCGTCACTCAAGAATAAGTTTTCTAGCAGCGTCGGCGGGGGGCGATAGCTCGCGAGGTGCTCGCGCCGCAGCCTTCCACGAGCAGGGTCCGATGCGCTATAGTTCGAATCCGCTTCTGCACCCGCTGCCGCGCCAACTGCGGCGAGCGCGCTGGGGTCACGCATTGCTTGCGCTTGTTCTGACCGCCAAGGCCTGGCCCACGCCGGCGCGCACCGTCGGAATCCTTCGCGGAATCCTGACATTGTCGACCAGCCGAGACTTGAACATGTCGCCCGTGTAGCAGCCCCGCGATGCGTCGCGGCGCCCTGGCCGGCGCGTCATTCCACCGTAGCCCATGCGCTGCAATGCGGTAGCGTTGCGTGAACGTATCAGGGCCCGACGCGTCGCCCATGAATTTTCCAGGCCCGCTCCGCACCTCTCTCCCCGCGTCGTCTAGCACCATCCCAGACAATCTTGGGTGGTGCCAATGTTCTCTTCTAGGGTTCGACTGGGGGCCACGACCTGCATCTTCATCGCCAGCAGGACGTGATCGAAGTTCGCGCTGCATCGGCGTTTCTGCGCCAGGCTTTTGCCCGCTGCGCAAGTATGACAGCGCCCTGAGCAAGGGACACGCAGCCACTCCCAATCTACAGCGACGAGCCTCCCATGCCAAAGCATGCGTGTCCCACAGGAATCGTGGTAGCGATCGCCAACATGTCTGCAATATGCACCACTCATATACAAACGTCGCCGCCATGCTCCCAAGATCCGCTTCGTAGGTGACAGCGACAGGATCCTCGTCATAATGCGCGGCGAGGCCAGCGCTGATATCCGGAAGTAGCACAATGCGACTGATCCTTTTTGGAATTGTGGCCAACGCCAAACTTGTATCCCGCCATGCTGCTGCCCCACCTTTGGTCGAGGGCCTCGGAGGAAAGTTCAGCGTACATGCTACAAGAGTCAGCTGCTTCGATGCGATGCACGCGATGCCTCCACGGCCCCGCAGCCCCCAAGGGGCTGGGATAAATTTCCTCATCGCGTTCGGGCCGAAAACGCGCCTCGACAAGAAAAGCGGACACCCGCAACTCTCGTTGACCATCCAAGCCCTCTCCCATCCGTCGTGCGCGCGTGCCTGGGGAATCCACGTTGCAGATTCCTCCGAATGCAACTGAAGCTTGGTCCTGTCGACCAGCACATATAAGATTCTGTGGATTCCAGGCGCTGATGAAGGCGAACCTCGCCTCGCACTCCTGGACAGCCCCTTCCTCCCACCACCAGCAGCGCCTGCAGCAATAACATCAGACGCGCATGCCTGCCCCCGAAGCGGGGGGGGGCACACTGGCGGCTATCACCGCCCCGCGGGCGTGGTTGCCTCCATCACGGCCCGAGTTTTTGCGGAAGGGGGGGAGGCGTCCGAGAAAAAAGGAAGGCCCGCGCGGATGCGAAACCGATGGGGGAGGAGGAGGAGGAGGAGGAGGAGGAGGAGGAGGAGGAGGCGGAGGCGGAGGAGGAGACTGGGAGGGAGGAGAGAGGAGGGAGGAGGAGGGAGGAGGAGGAAGGAGAGGAGGAGGAGGAGGAGGAGGAGGCGCACGCATCAACGCGGGCGTTCGGCCGCGCTGGCGCCCGAACGCGCCCCACGCGCTCGGGCACGGGTCAGGATGACCCGCTCGCGGACGCCGAGGAACACCGCAGCGAACGAAAGTCGTGGCCGCCGCTGAAAACGCAACGAGGGGGATGTAGGGCATCGTCCCCCCCACGCGATCCTCAGGGCAGCGGCCTGCCCATGGAGCCGAACGGAGAAGGAGGAGGAGGAGGAGGAGGAGGAGGAGGAGAGGGGAGGGAGAGGAGGAGGGAGGAACGCGGGGCGCTGCCTCATCAAAGCGAGGGTCCAACACCACAAGATGGCTCGGACAATTCAGTGGTTGTTGTACAGTTGTCATGTTCTCGCCTCGCTCGACTTTACAGCCAATGCCTCTCTCAGAAGCGCGGTGGCGGATCTGCGGGGAAGCGCAACGGAATGGATTGGCAATTGGAGGCCGACGCATCCACCCCCGAGCTGATCCCCCCCCCTGCAGTCCTCGACCATCAGGGACACAGAAGAAGGAACGAAGGGGTTCCCCTGGCCACGGCGGGCCCAGGCCACAAACAGATCCCAGAGCATGAAGTCCAGGAACGGCCCGAACACCCCGAGCCCCTCCCGAGCCCCAAGCGGTCCTCCTTTCGGCGTCTTGGCTGTAGCCCCAGCGCCGCCCCCGAGCTCTGGGGGTCGGGCCCGTTTGCCCTCCCCTCGAGATCCGCCCCGTGCGCCGCGAGGGCGGCCAGCAGCTCCCCGTGCCCGAAGTGGGCCTCTCGTGGGCGGCGCGCGGAAGCGCCGAGAGCGGCGGAGAGAGAGAGAGAGAGAGGGAGAGAGAGAGACCTGAGACTGAAGTTGGTGGCGAGCGAGGGCGGGAAGTGAGAAGGAGAGGGCCTTTTTTTCTCAGAAGGTTCGGAAGCCCCCCGGCCTTTTGAGAAGTGTTCTGAGCCTTCCCCGGAAACACATAATACTTCTCAGCAGGCGCGAGGGCTTATGAGAAGTCCCGCCGCCTTCTGAGAAGGCCTTCTCCTTCTCACTTCCCCCCTCGCTCGCCGCCGGTAAAGAGGCGGATGCAGCGCCATCGGCCGTCGGTTCAACATTTCAGATTGACGCACATTCTGAGTTTCGACATTTGGCCGAAGGGTGAGGCAGAGAGGGAGGGTATGGGTCTGGGTCTGGGCTAGTGCTTCGTCGATCTGCTGTTGCCAGTCACGCAAACAAGCTGGGGGGGGACACTGACCAGTCGCCAACTGAACCGCCTGTGAGAAACAGCCAGAATCTGGTCGATGGTCGATGGAATGAGAGGGGCCGGGGACCCGCGTTGATCGGCGAAACAATGCATAGAAAACGACTACAACTCTGTCGGAAGAAATGAGAAGAAACATGAAGCAGGGAGGCGTTGGAAATAGGTTGGGTTTCCGCCCGCTCTCTGAAGATGAAAGGAACAGGAAAAAACACTCGACGATTGAAGTAGGAAGGCGCCTACAGTAGACTGGGACCTGGGAGTCCAAAAAGACTTACTTTCATGCTTTCCATCCTGGGCTGCCTTTTGAATGGCCTCGGGCCCCGAGGCCGGCCTCAAGAAGGCGCAATTGTGGCGCAACACCGGCCGTCGCCGTGCCCCGTCGATCGCTCGAGCCGCTGGCCCCAGTCGTCGGAGACCGCCCCCCTCGCTCTGCCCTCATTGTGCACCTCTGGCTTTGAGGACCTTGTTTGTCCCATCGCGCTAGCTACTCGCGAAGCGCGATTATCTTCGGGCCGCGCGAGGCACGATTATCTTCGTGTCCCCCGCGGGTGACTAGGTTATTCGGCAGACAAGGCCGACCGAAAAAAACGACGCGACTGGAGAAACAAGAAGGCACCGATGTCGCTACTCCTAAGATCTCTCCCGATGTGCGCTCTGACCATTTGGGGCGAATCCAGCAGTGGCGACGAGGGCCTCCCAGGAGGCCGACAACGGTAAAAACGAGGGAAGGGTAGCGGTACACATCCCTTTTCCTTCTCTGAATGACATGCCCCCTTCTGCGTCCCGCCGCTGGCCGCGGCGTGGGCGGGAAGATACGACCGCCCGAAGATGCAACTGAGCATCGTTTCACTGGCCCAAGCCCCACTGGCCGACTTAGCCGCACCGATGGGAGGTGGGATGTATGATCCAAAGCTCCCCCCTCTCATTTGAGCAGGGACCGACCGTCACCAAACAATGTTCTAATAACAAAAGCAATGTTCGTAGAACATGAACGCGATGTGTTCAAACAAGACAGTCTCGGTCAGAAATGGTCTAACAAGATTTGGTTCAGACCACAGGAGGTTCTTAACTGGGGGCCTATAGGCCAGCCAAGATGCTTCGCCAATGCTCGACTCATGAGATAACTCAGAAAAAAACAACATTTTTTGTGTCGATTCAAAGTCGGTTTCTCCAAGTGTTTCGACAGTAACACTGCCCCTAGAGCCATAAAAAATGAACCATCAGGTGCTTCACTGCTTACTGAGGGAATGAAAAATCTCACTCCTGAAAACGAACTTCAAAATTTTCTGATGCCTCTGGGCCTCCCGGCCACCCCGCCTTGTGGGCGTGGGTCTGTGGGCGTGGCGCGGTGGGGAGAGCCTGTGGCTCCCCCCCCTCCTATGCGGGTAAGGGAATGGGTAGTGCTGCAATGTCGTTACCGTTGCGGTCGTCGTCGTGCTTCGGTGCCGTTGCCGGTGACGTCGTGGTTGTCCTCGTCCTCGTCGTCGCCGTCGCCGTCGCCGCCGCCGTCGCCGTCGACATCGTCGCCGTCGCCGTAGCCGTCGTCGTCGACGTCGTCGTCGTCGTCGTCGCCGACGTTGTCGTCGTCGACGCCGACGTTGACGTCGTCAACGTCGACAGTGTCCACGTCGTCGTAGTCGGCATCGTCATCGTCTTCTATCGTCGTCGTCGATCACGACGACGACAACGACGTTGGCGACGTCGACGTCGACGTCGACGACGACGACGACGACGACGACGACAACGACGACGACGACGACGACGGCGACGGCGACGACGATGACGGCACCGCAGCGCCACCCCACACCCTCAGGGGAATGGGCGGGGGCATCCACCACGGTACGCCCACAGGGCCACGATCAACGATCAGAGGGGGGGGGGCGATCCCATTCGCAAGGCTCACGGGCGTACCTATCCAGCAAAGGGGGGAACGATCTCATCAGCCTGTGGGGGGGGGGGCCAGAACCCTGGATCATCTGTGCCTGTTCCTTCGGGTTTCGCGGGGCCCATCCCCACCCGGAAGGGCGGGCAGGTAGGGCCGAGACACGCTGGCCCAGTGGCTTTGGGAAGAACTCCGACGATGCTGGGCAACGCGACCTGCCCGTAAAGACCCTGGAAGCGGCAGGGCCATGATTCACGGCACTAGAACAAACCTACCACTCGGTCGTGACTCAATGGCCCAAAAACGGTTCACCGAAACGGACAACGGGTTAACCGAAAGGGCCTCGGAACCGATTCGGAGACGGCTTTGACCTCGCAACAGAAGACTGTGATCAAGAAAACCTCTACCAAGGGAAACGAAACCGGCACACCACCGGCGACGGAAACGTCAAAAAAACGGCGCCAGCAACGGACAAAAGACAAAGGAGCACGGAAGAAAAATAACGCCTTACCATTTCTAGGGTCCAACAAATTAGAACTACGGACCTGTCCCCTCCTGGTCATCGCGCTCCTTCACTAAAAGGCCTCCTTGATGGGAACGGAGTCGATGGCGTCGGAGGATCGCGCCGCATCGCCGACACATCGGCAATGCATCGGCGATGCATCGGCGATGCACCAGCGATGCATCGTCGACGTGGGTGATGCATCGGCGGCGTCGGCAGGGAGGAAATCAGGCTCCACCGATGCATCCGCGATGCGTCGCGCTTCTCTGACCCCATCTACTCGGACCCCATCTGGGAGGCCTAGAAAATCATCGTGCTCCCTCCTGATCATCTCGGGCGGGTGGTAGTGGGGGTGACCCACATGGGGGGAGAAGAAAAAGAGCCCTACAAGGGCTCTTTAGGGCCCCTGTCGGACCCCTGCTGGCTGCAAAAGGGACCCGGAAGTGCCCCTTCAGGGACTTTTTCTTCACCCCCACTTGTGGGCCACCCCCCATTACCACCCGCCCGATCACCATTCTCCTTCTCCGCCCTCTCGTCTTCTGCGCCCCGCCGCGGGCCGCGGCGTGGGCGGGGGTCAGGCCGTCGTCGTCCCGCGCGTCCAAGTCCGCCCGCGCGGCGGCCAAGCGCGCCAGGACGTGGGCGTGCCCCTCGCCGGCGAGAAAGTGCACAGGCCTTTCGAGCGGAGGGACAGCAGGGGGAGGAGGAGGAGGAGGAGGAGGAGGAGGAGGAGGAGGAGGAGGAGGAGGAGGGAGGAGGAGGACAAGGAGGAGGAGGAGGAGGAGGAGGAAGAGGAGGAGGAGGAGGAGGAGGAGGGGAAGGAGGAGGAGGAGGAGGAAGGAGGAGGAGGAGGAGGAGAAAGGGGAGAAGAAGGAAGAGAAGGAGGAGGAGGAGGAGGAGGAGGAGGAGGAGCTGGAGGAGAAACAGGAGGAGGAGGAGGAGGAGGAGGAGGAGGAAGAGGAGGAGGAGGAGCAGGAGTAGGAGGAGGAGGATGGGCAGGACGAGGAGGACGGGAAGGAGGAGGAGGAGGAGGAGGGAGGAGGAGGAGGAGGAGGAGGAGGTTAGGTTAGGTTAGGACAGCCCCGAGGGGAAGAGTCTCGCAAGACTAAACAAACAATGGGGGGAAGTGGCACCCTTCGGAGAGGGATTTGTTACCCTGGAGGACAGAGCTCCCCACACTCTGACCAGGGCCCGCGACGGGGTGCCACGACCCAAAACTACTCCTCAGCCTGGAGGGCCTCCTTGGCTCGCACTCGCTCAGCGAGGGCGGCCATCCGTCTCTCATACTCAGGGACGGTGGGGGCACTCGAATGGGCCGAGGGAACAGACGTACAGGCAAGAGTCTTAGACCGCGGCTTGGGAACCACAGACATTGCAGTGACCGCAGCAGCTCTATCAATCAATTGACGGACACGACTGCTGGGGCCCAGGCCTCGCGAGTACTTACTTAGTACCTCGCGTCCCTTCCTAGAGGGTCGTTGGCACTCCTTGTCAAGATTACGGGAGCACCTCTGGGCCCAGCAGCCGCAACGAACGCACAAAAACTGAAGCCTACTCGACTTGGCTTGCGATGGCTCTGGGGTTCTGGGGTGGATCTCGTGAGAGGCCACACCAACAATCAGGTGCCCCAGGGAACGGCGGACGACCTGACGAACGAAATCGGGGGCCCCAGAGCAACCCAGAGCCTCTTGGGGGGTACCCTCATGGGCGACCACCAGACAATGCTTGCACTGCAAACCAAGCAATCCACTCTCCCACCCATGCCACCCAGGAGCTGACTTTACAGAACGGTGACGGGCAAAGGGCCTGACGCGCTTCGCTCGTGACTGGAAGGCTGGTAGCACACTAGCTGCAAGTTTGACAAAATGCCTGGCGGTCTCTACTTAAGACTCTAGGCGACTGGCTGCCTCGGGTCCGATGGGGGCGTGCATCATGAGAGCCTCCTTGGCGTGGAGGTCAGCAGCACGGTTACCTTTCGCGGGCGCCCGCTCCACAAGCGGCAAATTATCTATCGCGCCCTCGCTTCGATGCGCTTTGACATGCTGGATGGACCTGATGTTGCCGTGTCCACTGAGGGAACGGGCGAAGGCCGATACGCCAGCGAACACCTTGCTCGCACGAAGCTGTTCGTGTTCAAGGAGGGCCTGACTTACTGCTGCTTTACAATCGGCATGCATGTAGGAACTGCGATCAGCGATCTGGCAGGCGACAGCGATCGAGAAATTTTCAGCCATCGCGGGGGACCGCGGAAAACCTCCAGGCACAGTGCCACGCACTACCGAAAAGGGTAGCCCCGGCCTGGGGGTCAAACAGAACTACCGCATACGCAGCACGCTGAAAACAAGACAAAATCGGCATGGTGCTGCTTCCGTCCACCGCGATATGTAGGTTATCGCTATGACCGACAAATTGCACAGACTTCTCGGGCTCCAGATCGGGAAAAGCCTCCCCAAGACCGTCCAGGACCATGGCCTCGGGGGCCCCTTTGACAAGAGGGATGTCCCCTGGGAACACCGAGACGACACCTTTTCAAATGGAGTAAACTTCCAGGGTCTTCCCGAGCTTCGTCCAGGAAAGTCAAAGGCACTTCCGCCTCCGCGCGGGCCTGGGCTACAGCTGGGAGCTGGCAGCAAAAAAGCCGATGATGGGTGGTGTCAGCTCACCGCATTCACATCGGCCAGCTCGAAAAGTGACATAACCATTGTCATGTGCAAGCTGTTCCGTCCACAAACAGTCGCAGACAGCAGCTTGAACTAAATATTTCTGGTACTACGGTGAGGAGGGAGGAGGAGGGAGGACGAGGGAGGAAAAGGAGGAGGAGGTGGAGGCGGAGGAGCAAGAGGCAGCGGCTAGCCACAACATTGAAGGTAATTACAAGGAAAGCGACAGCGATGACACCCTTCCTGTGCGATTGTCGGCGTGCGCCGACGAGGAGGGCCCAGGCCAAGGACTGACTCCCTCGGGTCGTACACAAAACCGCAACCGGGGGATCTTCGCTGGTTTCTGCCTCGACGGGTCTTCACCAGGCCCCGAGACCCCGATACCGTCCAAAAACACTTTGGGATGAACAGAAATTGCTGGGGAAGGGGTCCAGCCCCCTGGGGAGCCACGCGGGAAAATCTCGACGGTCGCTGTCTGGGGAGGGGGGTCGGAAAAAAGGGGTGATAGCACATCGTGGCCCCAGGCACGTGCGCGGACAAGGGGGGGCCAGGGAACGCACCGAAACAATAATAATAATACGAATAATAATAATATTATTAATAATAATAATAATGATGATGATCATAATAATAATAATGATCATAATAATCAGACTAATAATAATAATACTGATAATAATAAATACTAATGATAATAACGAGAAGAAGAAGAAACCGATGAACACAACTCATCATGTTGGTTATAAAGGGCAATAGCACGGTATTGCGAAGAAGAACAATTAACAAGCCAAAAACATAATATACGTAATACGGATAAAATTAGGAGGAGCATAACAAACAGAGAGACAAGAAGCGCATATACATCATAACACAAATTACTCCGACGGTGAGATATGGTTACCTTGGCACTCGTTCCTTATAATATCATCATCCTGCTTGTTCGCCTCATGCATTTCCATTCCCTCCTGGCCGGGGCATGTCGATTTTCCTTGGCGTCGATGCCGCCGCGGCTGGCATGGTCGCGTTCTCCGACGGCTGGATCGCGAGGCCGCTAGGACAGCCCCGCGGGCGAGGTCTTCGGGACAACCCCGCGAGCGGCTGCGTCGCGGCAACCAACGGTTGGGACAACCCCGCAAGTCTCGAGCTACTCGCGGAAGCGCTCAAGCGGGGGGCAGCACGAAGCCCAGCTTTGCCGCGGGCTGCTCCGCCTCAGTCCTGGAGCTCGCAACAACCTTGTCGAACTCCCAGAGCGCCTTCTGCCAGGACGCCGGCGGCCCGCGTTCCAGAAACGTTCGCGAGGGTGGCCGCAGGACCAGCACGTTCCGCATGCACGTGGCACGTTCCCCTCCGTCCCTCCAGGGAGCTCCCCCAGTCGAGAAATCCCCGACCTGATTCCCTTCATATGCATGCCGGAGCCCGGTCGGATTCAAGGTTGCAGGTTTGCTTTTGGCCCGGTCGGATTCCAACACGGAAATGGGGCTCCCATAGGGAGGGTCTTCGGTCGAGCCTTCCTCGCAAGTCACTCACAGACGAGGCTCCCGCCTGAGACGACCTCAAGATTCAGGCCTGAGGAGCCCAAACACGACGATAGCTACAACGTTCGCATGACCCGCTCGGAGTGCCAACATGAAGTGCGGGCCCCATAGGCAGGGGTCTCCCGCTTGAGACCTCCTCGCAACTCGCACAGACGAGGCTCCCGACGATATTTCCTCCGCATTCAGGCCTCAAGAAGCCCAAACTGGCGACTATTACAGGTTTCCGATGACCCGCTCGGATGGATAACATGAACTGCGGGCCCCATAGGGGAGGGGCTCCCGCCTGAAACTTCCTCCCGATTCACACGCAGACGAAGCTCCCGCCTGAGAGTCTCTCCATATTCAGGCGACAAAAATCCAAAAAATACAAAGTCACACGTTTCCGATGACCCGCTCGGATTAGTAACATGCGCTGCGGGCCCCATAGGAAGGGGGCCCTCGCCTGAGACTTCCTCGCAATTCACTCACAGACGAGGCTCCCCTTTGGTACTTCATCAAGTGTGGATGTGAGTTAGATGATCGAGGGAGTGTGAGTGAGTATGTAAGTGATGACGATATGGTGGATGATGATGATACTGATACTGATACTGATGAGGATGATGAGGATGATGACGATGATGATGCTGCTGATGTTGATGATTCTAGTGATGATGTACGTGTGCGTGTGTGAATGAGAAGAGAGGGGGGGTATTCTTCCTGCGCGGGGTCTCCAGAGAACAAAAAAAACCCACGTTGGATGTGGGGAGTAAGAAGATTAATCTTACAACGAAAACAAACACAAGAAGAGGAGGCTGATATCCACACGCCCCGAATTATAGTCCTCATCTCCCACTTGGACGCACCGAAGACATGCATAGCTTAATTAAGTCAGTGTACGGATACCACTACCCTGAGATCCGAGCGTCGCAATGCTTCCACGCTGGGCGTTTTCGCCCAATGTCGGGCCCGAAGGCCTTCACCGATTGTTCCGGGGCCCGGCCAGCTCTGCCCAGGATTCCCACGGGAGTCCGGTCGTGGCGACAAAGGCCCCATCCCCTGGGAGCCGCAGAAGGCGAACACGAGGGGAGCTCGTCCTGGGTATAGGGCGTGCCCGACGAGGGGCACCCCCTGAGATTAGGGGGAAAACAAACATACCTCGCTTTTGACCACCCTCGCTTCCAAGAGATACCAGACGATGCCAAATTGCAGCCTGTACTGGTCAGGCCGCTTGACGAGGAGGCGCGTGGTATGGCTTGGTTTTGCCTGGAAGCGGAAGCGGGGTAGGTAATTCACGCTCTGAGAGATCCGACGCCGGCCCGAGCCCGGGCGAACCCGTCCAGAGCAACCAACAAGAAGACGGCGCCGGGATCTCAGGGGCCGCCGCCGTCGCTGCCAGAGGCCTCTGGCGGTCCACGCGCGTGCCGACGGCGGTCCTCTGAGGTCGTGGGTGGCCCCCAGAGGCGTCTTCGGCGGCCCAGGGAGAAGCCAAACATCGCACCAGAGGCCGACGCGCGGTGCAGAATTCGGCGCCCGCAGCTGAAGGCCACGCCATCATCGGTGCACGTTCCCCTCCCGAGGGCCTGGCGCCCGCGAGGTCGGCCACGTCGGGGCCGGCGCCGTGCCTGAAAGGAGAATGGACGACACAAACATGATCTCTGACACCCGCCGATCGGATTTTGCGCTCCGCGGCCCCCACCCGACCTTCCCTGGATCCAATTATACGTCCACGATCTGTATTTGATTGTCCCGGGTCCCGAAAACAGACCCGACCCCCACCAACCATCGATTCTCCTGAATCGATGGGAGGCGGGGGGCAGGGACTGGATCTCGCCACGCGTTCGACGGAATCCGAACCCTACCCCCGCCGCCCGTCGAAATGCCTGAATCGTCGATGCGCGAGGACAGGGTTCGGATCTCGCCTCCGACCAGAGGCCGAACTCGTAGAAAAACCAAACATCGACAAAAATCAGATCGTCGGAGCTCTGGGGACGCTCGGAAGTTCCGCGCGGACTTCGGGGATCGGCGCTGGGCCCTCCTCCCCGGCGCGCGGAGCGCGCCCCCTGGAGAAGAGCGTCCTGCCCTGGCCTGCGGAGAGGCGAAGCGCGGCAGCAACCTTAGGGGGCCACATGCGAACCCTACCCCTACCCCCCACGATTTCTGAGGGGGAGGGTGGGGTTCACTTCGTTCGGGAGCTCTCGAGCGAAGTGAACCCCACCCTCCCCCTCAGAAACCGTGGGGGTAGGGGTAGGGTTCGCATTTGGCCCCCTAAACCTGGCGCCCTGCACGAGCAGAATCATCCAGCAGGTGCGCGCGGATCTCTCGGATCGGGACCCCCCCCCCTCCTGGCGAGCGGAGCGCGCCAGGGGAGGTCCCCGAAGTTCCGAGATATCTTCACGCGGACCTCCCAACGTTGATGCTCATGCAGCTTGTTTTGCGTCGCTCACACACGCGCACACCCCGCACGCTGGGGCCCCCCAGGAAGCCGACGCCTCGGCTCCTGCGACGCGTGGGCCCCCGGAGCTCCCGACCCCTCAGGACCATTTCTCGTCCCAGGGCGTGGCTCGACGGCCCCGGAGCCCGAGGCCGTGACGACGAACCCGGTGCAGATCCGACAAACCCGAGGGGACCTCCGATAGGAGGGCACCAACTATACACCAACACCGATCCTGGCCAGGATCACCCTGGGCCCAGGATCGGTGTATACGCCCTCCTGCCTTGGGCAAGAAGGTATATACACCGATCCTGGGCCCAGGGTGATCCTGGGCCAGGAGCGGTGTTGGTGTATAGTTGGTGCCCTCCGACTCCGAGGGTGTTCATGTCCACTGAATCGTTGCATGACGGCCCCAGGAGGCCGAACTCTGACGACGCATCCTGTGCAAGTCCGAGAAGCCCGCGCAGGCCTCCGAACGTGCACACATGCGTGCCGCCGGTTATCTTCTCGAACTGCTGGCATGCCCGCAACCGGTGCGAAGAAATGGGCACCATGCCCAACAACAAGCGTTGTCCAAAGACCGACAGCGGCCGTTGTTCGGCAGGCGACTTCTTTGCCGCAAACGGACAACGTCCGTTGCGACAACGACCAGGACCTGCTGTCGATCTTCGAGAGGTCCAGGTCGAGAGTCTCGACCCATCATCCCAGAGTCTCGTCCTGAAGGGTTCAGAAGTCTCGAGCCTTCAGGACCGCTGCTCGTCCCAGATCGTCTCGCGAGAGCCCGAAATCTGACGAACCCTGCGCAGGACCGAATACATGAATAGGCAGAATGCCCAACAGCAAACGTTGCCCAAACGCCCGCAGCGCTTGCTGTTGGGCAGTCGACTTCGTTAGCTTGCACGGACAACTACCGCGGCGACAACGACAACGAACTGCTCTCGACCCTCGTCCCCACTCTTTTCGAACGACGATGAGATCCGACAGTGCGAAACAGTCGCAGCATCGCGACAAATCATGACCGGAAACCTAGACTCCATCTTTCATCGAGGATCTTCTGACCCGGGTCAATCCAGACCCGGGTCAGCAGGAAACCAAAAACTGCAATGCAGGAACAAAAAAATGCAACGCAGGTCTTCGCAAACCCGGGTCAGCCAATCTGCGCGGCCGCCTCGCGGCCACGAGCGGCTCGCTAACCCGGGTCAGCCAGAGGGGGTCTTCGCAGGATCCTGCAGGATCTGGTGCCCTGGCTGACCCCCGCTTGCATGGACCCCCGTCCCAAAACTCCCGATCTCAGCGACATTTTCCGGGCCGGGTCGGTCAGGGACGCGCGGCCCCGGGGCCCGCCGCTGCCCGAAGCGTCGGGGCGGGTCGTCTCGACCCTTCGGGACCGCGTCCCGTCCCGCATGATCTCGACGGCCCCGGAGCCCGTGGCCCTCCGACGACGAGCCCTGCGCGGCTTGGGCGGACCTGGGGCGCGATTCGGCGCTGCTGAGCGCCTCGTCGCTCCCCTGCAGATTTCGATCGTGCCGGGAGTGCCGCAGCAGCGCGGAGACAGCCGCCGAGTGCCCGGCCGCTGCCGCCCAGTGCAGCGGCGCGGCGCCACCGTCGTCGCGGGCGTCCGCCGGCACCCCGCGCCGCAGCAGCCAGGTGGTCGCCCGCGCGTGGCCGCGGGCAGCCGCCCAATGGAGCGCGCGCGGCTCGTCGGCCGCCTGGCGCCCGCGCGCGTGGGCGCAGTGGAGGCCGAGCAGCTTCATCGCCTCGGAGGCTGCCCAAAGGGTCAACTCCTGGAGCCCGTTCCCAACTTAATTCGCGCGCGGCCCCCCCCACCTGGTGGTCACGCTACGATTCGAGCCAGCGCCGTCTGGGAATTAGCAAACCCTCTGCATTCCTAAACGGCGCCGGCGGGGATTTTGAAGTGACCGGCTCCCTCCACCACCTCCTTTCGCCCTGGTCACGCCCGTTCTCCCCAGAGGTAAACAAGTGCCTCCTGGGAGGTGTTCGTGGGATCGGTGGTAACTGAAGCGCTATGAAACCCGATGCTGGGGCCAGAAAACTGAATTGAGCCAAGGATCTAGCCAGACTCATCAATTCATGAACGGAATCGATCGCGGTTAAGCCTCAGTAGGAGTATGCCAGGGTAGAACGGTTTTCGACCGCGGCTGCACCAGCGCCGATGCCGAATTTGACCTCCCAGGTGTTGCAACCGAGAGGGGTGATCCCAGACCCCCTCGCGCTGTCAACTACACGGCGGGCGTTCTGTGCCTACATTTGGCCTCTGGAGGGCCCTTGCCCTTACTGGGCCCCCGAACAACCCAGACAGATCTTCGGAGAGCCTACGTGTCAAAATCACACCTGAGGTTTGGGTATGGTGATCCTGGGCCCTCTGCCCCCCGCTTTTCGCGACATCCTGGGCCCACTCTATATGCGTCCTCTAACTCCCCCCCCCAATGGGGCGCTGTGGAAGCCATGGGCACCTCCCTGGAGGCGCTTGGGCCACCTTCCCAGACCCCCAAGACTGTTTTTGTCACCTGCATGCTCCCGGGACTGGCTCCTCTCGGCCACGTCCCAAGGACCGGCTCTTCATCCCGTGTCGTTCCATGACGGTCCCAGGGCCCTACGAGGGCCCCAGGAAGCCTAGCATTATCGGGAGCGGCCAAAAGGGGGGTGTCCAAGAGGGGGGGGTGCAAATTATGACCGGCGGCATGTGCGCGGTCCAGCGGGGGGGCCAGGGACGTAATGAAATAAGAAGAGGCGCCATGAGATCTGGGGAAATATCATGGCCCACGCCATGATATCCACCCCCCCCTAGTCATCACCCCCCTCGTTTCCGCCCCCGACATTATCAAACACCTTCCATCCTGGATGGAAAGAAAACGAAAACCATGACCAAGACTGACCGTGGAAACGTCAATGTCGATCTTGGTCATCTTTCATCTTGGTCATCGTCAACCCGTGAATCCTACGAACGACGGCTTGCATGGACCATGCGAAGATCAGCGTCGACAAGACCCCGCGACATCTTTGCCATGGCCATCGTGCTTGTTCCCTCGACGCCGTGCTATCCCACAGGGAGAAATCAAAGGAATCAAGCCGCCGATACTGGTACGGAAACCATGAATACGATGCCCTCCGATAGATGGCAGGCGACCCTTTGTCTCAAGTGGGAGCCGGCCGCGGCAACACCGACGCCGAATGTTGGTCGAAGTGGGCAGGGACTGCTGCGTTTCTTCGTCCCAATTCTCATTGCACCGGCCTTGCAGACGTGCTGCAGCGGATTTCTGCGTGGATTTCTCTCAGTGCATTGCAGCACCCCGAAGTTGCGGGCGAAAAACAACGCCAGATTACTGTGGATCTTTTGTTTAGTCTTCATGCCTGGCCAAAAGAAATCCACACGAAATTCGCTTCGAAATCCAAAACGAAATTATCCAGGACACTCCGGGCCCATCCTATCGTTTTCCGAACGAAATCCGCTCTGCGATGTTGGCGCCATGACCATTCCTTCCGTCCCCGTATCTGTCGGGGTTCACCAAGGTGCGGGAACCCTCAGGGGGGGGGAATTCGATTCGCTGGTGCATCGAATTTCCTAAAAACGATGCCCCCCGCGCGCCCCGATTGTCGACACCTCTCGGGTTCCGGCGCCGGCCGGAGACCTCGTTTTGCATCGTTTTTCTGCGCTTCGATGCGCCAACAGACCGAGCTCCCCCCCCCCTGTGGCCCCCCCTCTGTTTCCCCCCCCCGTGCTGACTACCTACCAGACCACCCCAACCCAACCCGAAGACCCGAATTTCGGGTTGGGGGGGGGTATGGGCTCCATATGTGTTTTTTCGACGTTCCCGGACCCCCCCCACTAGAAATCGAGGGCAAATCCGACCCTTCGGGTTGGGTTGGGGTGGTTTGGTGGGTGGAGACTTGCGGGGTCCCGAATCTACCGTGCCGAACCTCTGGCCCGCACCCCGATCGCCTGCGTGTGGCCCGCCCACGCGGCCCACTGCATCACGGACAGCCCACCACCGCCCAGCAGCTCCCCGCCAGCAGGGCCTGGGCAGGGATGCGCGGCGGCAGAAATCTGTGTATATGTTCGGAGCACCGCGCGAATCTCGCCGACGTAAAACGAAAGCAACATGATCAGCCACTGTGCGGCCAGGCATGGAATAGGCGTGTCCTCAGGTCACCCTGAATTCACAAATCTCCTGGGGCTTCCCGAGTGCCCCCTGGGGCTTGTCGCTTCTTGTCCCTTAACTTTGTCGGGGCCAAGAGGGCCCCAAGCCGGGCCAAGATGGCTCCAAGAGACCCCGAAAACGGTCCAAGAGTGCCCCGACTCGCCGAACGATCGGCCGAAGATGCCCAAGACAGCCCCAAGACGGCCTAAGAGCCCCGAGACTCCCCAGATACCCCCAAACTGCTAATTGGAGTCTTGTCGGAGCCCCTTGTGACAAGGGGCTCCGAACAGACTCCAATGAGCATTCCTGAAAACTCTGACCCACCCTGGCACGGTGACGGGATTGGCCCAAGGCCATTCGATCCGCCGCCCCCAAGTGGCTTGCCGCAGGGGTGACCGGCGTGCTAAACCATATGCGGCTCGATTTGGGCTCTTTTTCAAAAGAAAACCCCCTGTGGCTTCGGCGCATGCCGCCGGCCACCCACTAGGCCGCACACTCCGCAGACAAAATTGCACAATCGCCTCCAAGACAACCAGGATGGCCCAAGATGGACTCCAAGATGCCTCCAAGACAGCCAAGACGGCCTCCGACACGGCCAGGATGGCCCCCAAGATGGCTAAGATGGCTCCAGGATGCCTCCAAGACGGCCCAAGATGCACCTCAGACGCCCTAAGATGGCCTCGAGATGGCCGAAGACGGCCCAAGAGGCCCCTAAGAAGCCTCAAAACGACCCCAGAGGCATATAAAAGGATATGCAGGAAGGCCTGAAGTGCCAAGAATCATGGAGTTTCTTTCGGTTGTTGAAGGAATGTTGTATGGGCTACTTGTCGGCTTTCCGACGCTCAGAGACGGCCCAAGGAGCCACCAAGATCGCCCCAAGATCACCCACGAAGCCACCAAGATTGCCCTATGACGGCCCAAGAAGCCCCCAAGATGATCCCCAATACGGCTCAAGGGGCCTCAAAGACGCCCAAGATGGCCTCCAAGACGGCCATGAAGCACCCCAATATGGCTCCAAGTCGGTTCAGAGAGGCCCCCAATACGGCTGCGGACGACGTCAAATGGGCCAGGAACGCCCTAACACGGCCAAAGAGGACCCCAAGATGACCTAAAAGGCCTCCAAGAGACCAGGGAGGCCCCCAAGACGCCTCCAAGAGGCCCCCAGGAAGCTCCAAGGAGGCCCAGTGCCGGTGCTCCCTGGGTGTCCCGCCCCGCGTGTTTGCCTGATGGCGACTGTATGGCGCCAAGCCCCAAGAGTACCGCTGCTCCATGGGGACCCCCCTCGCGCTCTCGGGTCGGGATCGCCTCGAAGCAAAGGCAGGACCTCCCCGCGAGCAGCAGCTCTCCTGGGGCGCGTTCTGACCGGGACTGCAAGGCGGATCCAGCCGTGGCGACGGGGGCCTGCCGGGCGGCCCCCAAAGGCGAAGACGAGGGAAGGGCAGCAGTACTGGTAATTACAGTGCAGGCCAGTCCACAGGAAACCTCCCACGAGAAATCCAACCCTGAGGCCCCAGGAGGCCCATCGATTTCTGGCGCGGGAGCAGCACGCCTTCCACAGCAACACCATCGAAACCCAAGGAACCCAGGGCACCCTGGAGGCAAGCAGGGTGCCTCATGGCATGGGCCTCCACTGCAACCTTCTCCTCCTCGGAGCGCCGTGCCGTCGTTCCCTCCCCGCGGGCCGCAGCTCAGGTTGGGCCCCGCCAGGGCGAGGGCCGCCCGGGCGTCGCGCGCGCGCCCCCGCACGGCGGCGCCGTGCAGGGCGGGCAGCGGCTCCACCGAGCCCACGAAGCCGACGCCGACGTTGTAGGCGCCGAGGCCGCAGGTGGCGTGCGCCCAGCGGTCGGGCACGTAGACGACGTCCGCGGGGCCGGCGATGCAGAAGAAGAAGAGGCAACCACCGGCGGCGAGCCCCAGGGGGGGGGGGCGAGGGGCGGCGGGGCTTTCTCGCAAGCCCTCGCGCCTTCCGAGCAGGCTTCTGGGCCCTCTCCGAAGACGCAGGCGCCGCCTCGCAAGGGCGGCCAGAGGGCTGCTGAGAAGAAGCCCCGCCGCCTCTGAGACGGCATGGCCCCCCTCTCTCTCCTCCCGTGGGCTTGCCGCCGAAGCCGACGAATAAACGTTCGGAGGTCACGCGGATTTCTTGGGTCGGCGCTGGGCCCCCCTTAACTGCCTTGGAGCTCGCGGGGGACGGCGCTGGAGGTGCCGCCATCCAGCGCAGATCCAAGAAATCCGAGCGGACCTCAACGCGTTTACGAGAACGGTTCCCATGCACCGTATCATGTCTGGACTCCCTTCGGCCCATGCGGGCCGCCGAAAAATTCGGGGGACGCCAACGCGGTACGGTGCGGACATGCTGGCCGCTAACTTCTATATGGTCGAGGGTTTGCCCCCCCCCCCCCAATGCTAATGCTACCGCCCCCCCCCCCCCGCGCGATGGTCCCCCCCTCCCCCTGTGGATGTGGAGTGGGTGTGGTGTGTTGCTGTGGGTGTGTGTGGGGTGACCCAATGTCCTCCCCCTCCTCCCCCCCTGTAGGTGTGGTGTGGGTGTGCGTGTAGCTGTGATTGTGGCGTCATGCTGACGTGCTTTCGGGAAGCTCCAGTGCTCGACGTCGTCGCCGCCGCCGCCGGTGCCGTCGACGTCGTCGTTGTCGTCGTCGTCGGTGTTCGTCGTCGTCGTCGTCGTCGTCGTCGTCGTCGTCGTTCGCCGTCGTCCACCGTCGTCGTCGTCGTCGTCGTCGTCGTCGCCGTCGTCGTCGTCGTCCGCCTCCGTCGTCCTCCTCCTCCTCCTCCTCCTCCTCCGCCTCCGCCTCCGCCTCCGCCTCCTCCTCCTCCTCCTCCTCCTCCTCCTCCTCCTCTTCCTCTTCCTCCTCCTCCTCCTCCTCCTCCTCCTCCTCCTCCTCTCCCCCTCCCCTCCCCCTGTGAATGTGGTGTGGGTGTGGTGTGTTGCTGTGGGTGTGTGTGGGGTGACCCAATGTCCTCCCCCTCCTCCCCCCCTGTGGGTGTGGTGTGGGTGTGCGTGTGGCTTCGATTGTGGCGTCATGCTGACGTGCTTTCGGAAAGCTCCGGAGCTCGACGTCGTCGCCGCCGCCGTCGACGTCGTCGTTGTCGTCGGCGTCGTCGGCGTTGTCGTCGTCGTCGTCGTCGTCGTCGTCCGTCGTCGTCGTCCGCCGTCGTCCGTCATCCGTCGTCGTCGTCGTCGCCGTCGTCGTCGTCGTCGCCGTCGTCGTCGTCGTCCTCCTCCTCCTCCTCCGCCTCCTCCGCCTCCTCCTCCTCCTCCTCCTCCTCTTCCTCCTCCTCCTCCTCCTCCTCCTCCTCCTCCTGACCCCCCACCCCATCCCATCTGGGGGGGGGGGGGCGAGGACCCTGGGACCCTTCCCGTCTGGGGGGGGGACCCGTGGGCCCGAAGCCCGCGATCATATATGTTTGCGTCGTCCTTTCTTCTTCGAGATGCAGCGCTCCAGCCGCAGGGGCGCGTCCCCTGGGCCAACTGGCGCCTCGGCGTCTGTCGCCGCCGCCCGCGTCGTCGGCGCCGCCGCCCAGACGTCCTGACTTTTCGATGCGGTGCGGGGCCCCCGACTGAAAGACCAAGACTGTGACAAACTCGGACCGTGACAAACCAGGCATCTCTGAGAGCTGGCGGTTCGTAAGGATAAATCGAGCACCGCTGCCGCTCCAAAGCGCTCTGCCACGCTCTGGAACGATGTATCCCGGTCCTGGCCCCGCCCGAAAACTTCCCCCAAGGCCCAGCGGAGGGCTCCTCATCCCAAGTTGCTTTCCAGACAGCCCCTGCCTGCCCGCGGCAGCCAAAAACGGCGAAACACGTCCGCCTCGACTTGCGCATCCAGGCACACCCTGACAGCCCTCGCCGGGGTGCAGCTGCCGGAACACGCATCGAAGCGAGAACACCTGCAGAACCGACGAGGACGACGACGAGGGCCGTCACGGCGGCGCCGCCGTCGCCGCCGGCGCTGAGACGCGACGCCGCCGTTGTCGCACCGCCGGCTGGCGCCTCGGCGGCGGAGCGGTGCCACAGGTCGGCCCTGCGCTGCCGGCACGGGGCGGCGTAGGCGTGGGCGGGGATGTCGCCCCCCGGGGGGCCCACCTGTGGGAATACCGAAATGCGGCAACACCACCCGCGCGAGGAGCCAGGCGGGGGGTCCTGCTGCTAGTGCTGTCCCCCCTTTTCAAACTCGAGGCATCCCCGAATGACAGCTTGTGGTGCACGTGTCACATGTGGCTCGTGCAGAGCAAGGTTCCCCTGCTCGGGCGAATATCGCGAGGTGGCGCCCGCCAAAGTGAAGCACCACGCGGCTGGAGCCGGTGATCAGGAGCCCACGCCCGGCTGCCAGCGAGAAGGCGTCAGGAGCAGCACGGACTGGGGGAGCGGGGGGGGGGCGGAAGGCAAGGGCGGCAGGCAGGGGCCGTCGGCACCGCCACCGCCGCGGCGCGGTGGTTCCCCGAGCTCTCCGAGCTCTGACGCGCGTGGTGAAAACAAGTGTTTCGCGCCCCGCGGGGTCTATTCATCGGCCCCGAGGGGGGGGCGTCCATCATTTGAGATCACAGGCTGACATTATCCGAAGCTCGGGAAATCATCGTGGTCCTCCTGGCTGGATCTGCCCCTTCTGGCTGTTGGCGGTGAGCACAATGGGATGGAGGGAGGCGGGAAGGCTTCTTAGAAGGAGGCTGCTTCTTGGAAGGCGCTGGCCTTACATCTATAGCTTAGGCCCGCGCCTTCTCAGAGGCAGGGGTGCTTCTAAGAAGCCCTCCCTCCTCCCCCCACCCCCCCTCTGCAAGTGGCTGAGTCTGTGGTGGTGTCGTTTTTTCTTTCCTCCGGACCTGCGCCACAAAACTCCATACGGCAAGTTCGTGTCGTGACGACGTTGGCGCTGGTCTCTGACAGCGCTTTCCGGGACCAAGGCGTTCAACCTTCAACGCACGCCTGCGACACAGAATCTACCCAGAGATCCTCTCGTCGCCAAAGATCACGATTCACGGGAAAACGCGGTTTGCCCATGTTTAGCCTCTAGCGGCTCTGGCCGGGCCCGGGGCGCATCAAAAAACGACTCGGGAGAAAGAACGGTCCGGGGGAACAAGTCCAGACCTCTGGGGGGTCCACGTTATGAAAAATCGACGTCGGACGCCTGGCGTACCCCATAAGTTCTGTTTGAATGGCTGAATCCGTTCGGCGTCTGAGCCCATGCGGCAGACGATTGGACCCCAGATCGAGCTCACTCGGCGGTCGAACGCGTTCAACTCCCGAGATCCAATGGGAACTGAGTCCGTTCTGCTACCCATTCGGCACCAAACGGGCTGAGATGCCGAACGGGCTCAGAGGGAACCTGGGGTTCACAAATGTTTTCCTGTGCGTTCAGGGAGCGTGACAAGGTACAAATAAACTGAAACAAAATAATACATTAAGCGGAAGTGGCCAGGGGTGGACAAAACAGGTAGGGGCTGAAACGAGCCCAAAACAATTGTCACGAAAGGACACACAAGAAAAACTGGAAGAACACTGGCCAAGGCTGAAAGAGTCCGGCCACCCTTTCTAGCTTTCCCTCCACAAATCGTTGGCTCTTCGTGCTGATCTGCACACCGCCACCCTCCCGAGGCCCTGGAGCAATCCGCCATGCGAGGGACCGCTGTGTGCTTCGCGGCGGGCCCACCAGCCAGAGCTTCCGCCCGAACACCTGCGCCATCCACGCCTCCTCACCGGGGGCGGGATCGGCCAGCACATGATCGAGCTCGAATCGGAACGGCGTAGGCGGGGTGTGCCGCTCCCCGGACGGGACCACGAGCGGACGGGACCACGAGCCAGAGTTTCCGCTCACACACCTGGACAGCGACGCGGGGGCCTGCACGGACTCGCTGACCTTTAGGCTTTGACCAACCGGGGGCCCTCGAACGGCGTGGTGACCACACCGCACGGTTTTGGAACTCTGGTCCTTCTCGGAGGACGTCTCAGGCGACCAAAACCTTCGAGGACCCAGAACCGTGTGGCGACAGAGGTCTCGTGAGATGTCGAAGTCACCGCGCGGTCTTTCACCAGACGGTTTTTCGGGACCCCCGAACCAAGACGCGGAGTAACATAGCTTACACTAGAGAGGCCCCGCTAAGTGGTTCGCACGTGGCTCCAAGAGGCCCCCCGCAGCCTCTGACTTTGCCATCATTGGCACCCCTGTTTCAAAAGATGCTGACTACGCACCTCCTCCAAGTATCTCTCATGGGTATCGTTTTTCGGATGCGCTGGTGGAAATATTTTGTTTTTGGTAGCGGCCACCAGCGAGAGCGCAGGAGGCGAACAAGGAGTCCGGGCCGACGGGCAAACCTAATTAGCTGCAGGGCGCAACACCAGCCGGCCGGGCCAGCTCACAAAAGCAGCAGCTGGGGCAGCGGCAGCGGGGGGCCGTCTGGCTGAACTGGGACGCCCAGGGAAGCTCGGGCAGCGTGCAACCCTGCGGCAAAATGTCAGGGAATTCTGTGTTACGCGCTGTGGCGTCAGACCACTCAGGTGGAGGTGCATGTTGGGACAGGTGGGATGACCTGCGCGTGCGATCCTCACAGACATAGTGGTCGGGAAAGGCGAGGTAAACGCTGGTTGAGTCGCCAGGGGGCGCCAAGGGCCAGAACCGTGTCGACGGCGTAGACCAGTCAGGTAGGCAGGTGGAGATACGCAAAGTGCCAAGACAATGCACTGGATAAGCCCTGGCCAGTTGCTCGTACGTAATATGCATTAATCGCCGCGCGGTGGGCGATGACGAAGGGTGACGAGTGAGTGTTGGTATGCGCTTGCTTCAATGTCTGCTCTCTACAGTCGAATTTGCACCCTCTGCGTTCTAGTCTCCTCCACTCTCTACCCTCATCCTCTCCCTATATACGCCTGTTCGACTATCGACACTCCTCCCTCCATCCTCCGCACTTTTGCGCTCTGCTATACACTGCTTGTGTTCAGAAAACTTTGGACTCTGCGAGCTGCTCGCACATGCAGCCGCACTGTTACAGACTCTCGACTCCACAAACAGTGCTTGCACTTTGGCCCTGAATGGAGATAAGGCGGCTACGTTGCCACCGCGGCCGCCCTGTCGCCGCCTCGTTGCCGCCCAACGTCTCGGCTTGAATGGCGGTCTGGCGTCTATGTTGTCGCCGTCGCCGCCCCGTCGCCGCCTCGACGCCGCCCGACGTCTGGGCCTGATTGGCGGTCTGGTGTCTAAGTTGTCGCCGTCGCCGCACCGTCGCCTCCCAGTCGCCTCGTCGCCGCCCTGTCGCCGCCACATACGTTGCTCCGCATTGATCTTCCTTCCCGGAGGATTATTCAGGTCTACGGGATCTACCGCCCTCCCCGCCCCCGCGATTTAACACATCACCTTTCCGCATTGCATTTCGCATATTGATTTCGCACAGTCGCACATCTGAAATATAAATTTGTACCATCCCAGACAGTCCGGTTATCGCCCCCCTTCATCCTGGGCGAAAAACACGGCTCGCGCGCACTACTTACCAAGAGACACTAAACTCAAAAAACAATTGCAATAGAAGCGGGACGAAGTGCACACGCGCGCGGTTTCGCGCGCATGCCAAAATCACGAACAATAGGTGTGCAACAAAAAACAACAAAAAAACACGCTCGCGTTCTTGCGAATTCTTGAGGAAACAAACATGTCCATCAAATGCTACCAAACGTGATTCTCGCGCGCACATGTCGAAATCATTCGAGCGCCTTTGTGAACGTGCTGTCGCAAGAACCCCTTACAACAAATGGGGCGACGTGCACGCGCGCGTCGTCGCGCGCGCATGCCGGAATCCTCTAAAGCACCCAAGCCTCGACAGGCGATACATGTCAGAATGGAGGCCGAGGTTATCCCCTCTTGAGACGGTACCCAAGCGCCTGTCGGCGCCCCTGAACAATTGAACCTCGTCGTCCTCCTCGAATCTCGTCCACGATCCTCGATCCTCGTCCACGACCCTCGATCATCGTCGACATCCGCGAACCTCGATCGTCCTCCTCGATCCTCGTCCTCCTCGATACTTCATCCTCGTGCTCCCCCACCCTCGTCCTTCTCGATCCTCGTCATCATCTTCGCCGTTCTCGCCGCCCAGTCGGGGAAGCTCCTCGTGCCTGTGCAGTACCGCCTCGGAGCCGCGGCCCCCAATGCTTAGCGAGGGGCCGTGCAGGCGGACGGAGTCGAGCGCCTCCGCGCGCACAAACCGCCGGCCGCCAGCGCGCGCAGTCGCTGGCGGCAGGAGGAGGAGGAAGAGGAGGAGGGGGAGCAGGAGGAGGAGCAGGAGGAGCAGGAGGAAGAGGAGGAGGAGGCGGGGAATGAGAAGGAGGAGGAGGAAGAGGAGGACGAGGACGATGAGGAGGAGGCGTCGGCCGGCCGCCGTCGTCGCCGTCCCGGGGGTGGGAAAAGACAGCTTGGCATCAATCACACGCCGACGCGGCGAACGCATCAGCGTGTCGCCGTTGAAAAATCACCTGGGTTTCGGACAACCGCGAAGGGAGTGATAATCACGCTGTCGGGCTTCCAACGGAGGCGTGCCATTGATACTCCTTTTCCCTCACGAGTCACCACCCTACCGCCGGAGATTTGTTAAGTGCTTCTACGATCCTCGATCCTCGAACTTCGATCCTCTACCCTCCAAGCCTGCGCTTCATCGACTCGCGCATTCGGATCGGATGGGAAAGGCGGCGGACGGCCAGCGGCTCGTCCTGAATCGAATCGAAATCGGATCGCCGTGCCCAACTTTTGCTGGACCTGGCCGATGCAATTGAACCTGGGGCCACTGGGGCACCTAACAAATATAGATACGGCTACTGCTGGACCTCCCGGGACGCGTTCTGACCACAGGCTCGACGCGAATCCAGCCGTGGCAGCGAAGACCTCCCTGGAGATCCAAACAGGCGGAAACCTGGGTAGCGGTATCGGTCCCTCTGTCCCTCCTTTAAGAGTCGAGCGGAACCGTACCGCATCGCATCGGATCGCAGAGGCCCTGCCCTCGGCCCTCGAATCATCGACACGGAACCCTCGCATTCGCTCCTCGACCCTCGAGCGTTGCCATCTTCGTGGTCGCCATCGTGTGTGCCCTCGAGCCTCGATCCTCGGTCTTCTCGATCGTCGCCGTCTTCGACGTCGCGACCGTGGCCGCCGCCGTCGCCGTCAACACTGCAATTAGACAGGTCCACCGCGGGCTGGCGGAGCCGAGCGCAGAGCGCACGCCGTCGGTCGCCGGCGTCGCCTTCGCCGCCGCCGAGGATTCTGATCCTCGATCCTCAAGCATCGAGCCCGGATCCTCTGGACCGTGCACGCGGACGGGGTCGAGCGCCGCGAGCCGCTGGCCGCCAGCGCCGCCGCCGCCCCCGTCGAACCTCGATCCTCCATCCTCGATCCTCGACCCTCGAACCTCGACCCTGGACCCTGGACCCTCGATCCTCGACCCTCGACCCTCGACACTCGATCTGCCCTCTCGACCCTCGACCCTCGATCCGCAGCGCCTCGCGCCGCCGCCGGCCGCCAGCGTCGCCGTCGCCGTCGCATCGTAGAATATACACTGATCTCACCGTTTGCCTCTTCCTCGTCTCCTCTCGACCTTCCTTATTCTCATAGACGCTCTGGAGTCGAGCACCTCGTGCCGCCAATGTCGCTGCCGCCAGGGATCTTGAGTGTGTCTACGTACGTCAAGCTCGTGTCGTCACGACGTCGGCGTCAGTCTCTGACCCTACGTCGATCGTGTAGCCTTCGGCGATCGCGGCGTTCCGATAACGCAAATCTTTCAATGTCGGCCGATTCCGGACCGCTGGTCGCTGGTGGCATTCAAGCTAGAACGCCCGCGCTGAGGTCATCGCCACGTCGACACGACATGGAGATGTATCCCTTTTCCAAGACCGTCAACGAGTCAACGGCGTTAGCACAACAGAAAACTGACCTAATCGACAGCACGACCGAAACCGATCCAAAGCCGACAGACCGCACGCAGCCTAGAAGAGCGCAGCAACAACCGACCGAACCGCGCCGACCGAACACATCCGACTGCGACGCAGCCGAACCGACCGAACAGCGGCACCCGCCGACCGAACACAACCGACTGCAACACCCTCGCGTTCGACTCGTCCTCGAATCTTCTAGGCACTCCTTCTTATCCCAGATGACTTCTCCTTAAATAGGGAGCTAGCAACATCCAGTGAAGCAAGCTCGTGCAAATGGAAGATGGTTGCATCGAGCAATCCCAACGGGCGGCTGGACTCGGCACTCGGTGGAACGAAATCACGACCAACAAGAACCGATCGCTGGGTCGTTGCCGTTGTCGTCGTCGTTGCCGCCATCGCCAACATCGTGGCCGTCTTTGCTTCGTCGTCGCCAACGGCTCGAAGGTTCCCCAAAGATTTATGCGGACTGTTTGGAGAACTACGGGTAGATCCGAATGTGAGATCAAGACCCAGGCCTGACGACTCGACGCAATCGCTCATCTTTGAATATGTATGAAGGTATGGTTATGTCAAGCGTCTGGCGGCATCGAATCGATATATCAAATCGGATTTGAACAAATCTAGAGTCGGGCCGCATCGGCGAGGAATCAAATCGGACCGGCTGCAACGTCGGGCCGCATCGGGTCGCTGGAACATCAAGATCAACTCGGATCGAGAAAACTGGAATCTACATCGGATCGGATCGACAAAACTGGACCCTAGGAGGCCGTTTCCAAA